GCCTGTTGGTTTCATCTGAACTGACATAGGCATGTCCCATGCACTTGATGCTGTTCTAGTTATAACTGATTTCTGAAATCCATTCTTATTGGTTTTTGTGTTTATTTGTCTTGAACTCAAATTTCTATAGGGACCTTATGAATGAAGGTATTTTTGACATCATTACTGATGTATTACAAAGTGGAGATGAAAAGCTCGTTTTAACTGGGTAAGTGCTATAATGACCGAATTTAACCTTCCTCTTGTCTGCATTTGATTCTTAATCCACTATTATTTTTCTTCACCTAGTAAAAATATTGGTTTATGGATGCAGGACAGATATTCTCATTCTTTTCTTGAATCAGGATCCAAATCTTTTGCGTACTCATGTTGTTCGACAGGAAGGATTTCCACTTTTTGGACTGCTGGTATGCGCGATGAAAGTTTTTTTTCCTCATTTTAGTGTGTGAACAAAGTTCTTGGCCAGAAATTTAGTGCCTGCCTAGCAATAAAAAGAAGGAAACACATTAGTTGTCAACTAGGTAGCATGGACACGCTAAAAATGTCAAAGTGTCAGTGTTTGACACACAAGATTACAGTGTCCGTTTTTTTTAATAATCAGACACGGGGAGACACACTGGTGACACAGCTGTGAAGGACATGTAATTGCAAGAAAAAAAAAAATCAGCCCACAACCACACGTAATTAAGATATTTTAAAATTTGAACCCACAGCCCATTTGGCCCAGCCTTGCCTACTCGAGTTTTACTTTTTTCTTTCAGTCTTTCTCTTTCCTCTCAGATTTTATTTTTTTTCATTTTCCCCCCTTTCCCTTTTTCTGTTTCTTCTCCTTTGCACCTTCACCTTGTGATTCGGCCATTTCTTTTTTGACATCCACAAAAGGAAAACAAAGAAAGCAAGGTATTTTTTTATTTTACTATTTTTTCATTCGTATCTATTTTGAATATATACTGGAAATAGTATGTTAGTTTAATTTAGTATTAGATACTGGATATGTCTACTTTAAAAGAATTAAATATTAAAAATATTTCAAAATATGCGTGCGCGCACACATATATATGTTCAAAAAAATTAATGTGTCCTAGTGTGTCGTGTACTACTTTCAAAATAGATACTGGAAATAGTATGTTAGTTTAATTTAGTATTAGATACTGGATATGTCTACTTTAAAAGTATTAAATATTAAAAATATTTCAAAATATGCGTGCGCACACACATATATATGTTCAAATAAATTAATGTGTCCTAGTGTGTCGTATACTACTTTTTTAGAAATTGAGTGTCGTATCCGTATCTGGGCTTCTTAGGCTGTTGAACTCAGAAAAAAGAAAGTCTATCAATAGTTCTATTTTTCTTATTGGAAAGAAGTTTCTTATAAGAAAGAGGTGAAGGGTTCATCAGATGGGTTATTGGAATGTATTTTTGTTTATTTTAGTAATTCTGAATCAAGTTTCTGTGTCTGCTGCTCCAAGTTCTTTAGTCAATTGTTTGTCAAGGATCACAGTTTTCTGATTCATTCTTGTTAATTTACACTATCCATAGATTATGTGATTAAGCAAAAATGGCAATCTTGTTCTCCCTTGATTAAGGATTTTGGTTTTTACATGAATGATTTCATGATTTATTGCTTCTAACAAATTGTTGTGCTCATTTTTGGATATTGTAATATATAGATTGTGGTCTCTCGGGCCCATAAGTGGGAATATTCCCAAAACATTTTTTGATTGAAGAGCCGAGACTTTCATTAGTAAAAACTACAAAAAGAGGGGTAGAAAAGCCATCCACCCACTGAAGTCAATGTGTAGGAAGCTTACGAAAGTTGGTCCAATTAGCGTTGGTAAAAACAAGAATAGAATGACGAAGTAAATTTGAAAGGCAGCGTATGAGGAACCCTGAAGAGATGATCTCCCAGATTTTTTTGATAACTGCTTGACCTATTCACAAGAATATGGTGATTTTTATCCCTCCAAACCTCCGAAATTGGTTTTTTGATTGCTGCAGTCCAAATTATCTTAGACTTGTGCCTAAAAAGATGTCACGTAAAAGTTGCTAAATTCTTGTGCTTAATTTTAGTCAGCTAGCATCAAAGAGACGAAGTACTTAGAAACGTCTTAACATATGCGAGCAAAGGGGTAATTAAAAAACAAAATGGCCTCCTTGGAAATGCATCATGCATGATAAGGTAGGATTGTTCTTCAAGTCATTGGGAATTGGTCTTTCTGAATCCTCTGACACCCAGTTCTTATTAATGATGCTTGTCACGTGCAGAAAGAGTTACCAGGACACTCTTTTTTCTTTTTAATTACGATATCATCTTGTTTAATTGCAGGTTAAAGGCATGGTAACAGATTTTGGGGACAACATGCACTGCCAGTTTCTTGAAATTCTCCGCAATCTATTGGATACATATGCATTGTCTGGAGTTCAGGTGTCTTTTTTAACATTTTCTCCCAATAATATCCTATCTAATTTTATTTGAACGTAAGTGTAGTTGAGTTACGTTTTAAAAAATCCCATCCTGTTTTGCTTAGTTTTCTATACTCCAAGTAAGTATCAGGGCATCCCACTGCAAATTTGTTGTTGCTGATTTATGATATATTGATTTTTAAACTTATTTAGTTTTTTCTTTTAATCATAACGGATATATTATGTTTGTTTCGAGTCGCAGTGGCAACACATTTGAGTTTATTTACGCAGGTGTAACATTTTGATTGCTGATTTCTATTTTCTTATATTTCTGCTGAAATCTTGGAAAAACTTGTCAGTAAAACTTTCATGTAAGAAGTGGTTTTTTTTTTCTTGTTCATCTTTTTTTGTTTTTTTTTTTTGCGATTGCTTCAATTGTTCTCCGTCTATTTTGTCATGGAATATGCTACTGTTTTCATTTGCAGAGAGATACAATTATTGAGATTTTCTATGAGAAGCATTTGGGCCAATTAATAGATATTATAACAGCATCGTGTCCAACAGAAGGTTTTCAATCAACAAAGAAAATTGAAGGCGCTGGTGTAATACTGGGGGATACTAATAGCGTGAAGCCTGAGATTCTGTCAAATATATGTGAATTACTTTGCTTTTGTGTTCTCCAACACCCGTATAGAATTAAGTAATCTTTATACCCTACCCTTCTGCAATTAATGAAATTGAGTTCCCTCTACCATCTATTTTTTATATAGTTCTAAAACTACATGAATTATTTTTCTTATTCTTTTCTTGCAGGTCTAATTTTCTCCTAAATAATACTATAGATAAGGTGGTGTTACTAACACAACGAAGGGAAAAATACTTGGTTGTTGCTGCAGTTCGGTTTATTCGTACTATTCTTTCCCGCCATGTAAGTGTGAAGGTGTAATTATGAATCAAAGTCATCAAAAAGCTATCCTTTAAATTTGTCAACCAAAAATGTCTGGATTTAGCACATTACGAATCTAACCATCCCACTCTATAGTTGAAGTGGTCGTGGAAAGTATAGACAAGGAATGATCATTAGTGCCAATTTATTCTGTTAATATGTATGAAGAATGCTGATAATATGTATTCCGTTATTCCATTCCTTGCTGGATGAAATCTATTTTTCATCCTAGAGCATCCCCTTGCTTTTCTACTTATTGTCCTTGATATCTTTTTTATCCATCTCTCGCCCAATTGGCAGTCCATTAGTATTTACCGTGTGTAATCCACCTAAATCTTTTACTCTGTTAATCTGCAGGATGAACATCTAATAAATTATTTTGTCAAGAACAACGTTCTCAAACCTATTGTAGATGCTTTTGTTGCTAATGGAAGTCGGTATAATCTGCTTAATTCTGCTGTTCTAGAACTTCTTGAATATATAAGGAAGGTACATGCCTTTTCATCGTTTTTCTTTTTCTGGAACTCAGTTTGTCTTTTAAAGGACCGAACATTCATGCCTTGTATATCATGCAGGAAAATTTGAAATTATTGGTTAGATATATAATTGATTCATTCTGGAATCAGTTGTCCCAATTTGAAAATTGGTCTTCCATTCAAGCTCTAAAAGTTAAATATGAGCAGGTAAACTGTCGTCCTGCCTGGTTGGCTCCATCTCTTCATGTTATTTAAATTTATATTTCCCCCCATCTGATATATGTGCTTGCAGTGCCTTGAAAATTGTGAAACAAAAGGCACCCCAAACACGTTAGATCCTCGAAAAAGAAATGATGAACGTGCTCTAGAGAAAGAAGAGGAAGACTATTTCAATGAGGACAGGTAATCAATTTTCTTGGTTCTCACTGTCTCAAACTAGAGCATTTCTATCAGGATTTGCTTCCATTTGACTAACCAATCCCGATGCAGTGACGAAGATGATACTGCATCTGCATCTGTTGCTCCCAAACAAAAAGTACCATCTCAGCCTGCTTTATCTAATGGCGTTACTATAAGCTACCCACCAGCAAGGTATTGTCATGGTGTCCCTCATATAGTGAGTTTAGGATGACTTTAAAGTAAAATGCTTATTCTATACACCTTTTGAAGCACTAATAAAAGACATTTTGTAAAAGCACTTCTAGTGCCTTTGTAAGACATACTAATTAAGTGCTTTTTTCAGGAAGAAATTTAAAAAGTGCTAATGGACTTCATGTACTTGTCACCTTCCAAAAGTCATCCATGCGTACCTTAGATATTTTTTGAACTCTAAAATCACATTTGACCATATAACCGAACACCATGAATATTTTTCAAAATTCTCTTAATTGGCTAACAGATCTCTTCACTTTTTCAAAAGACACTCCAAACTCATCTTTAAGCTATTGTCAACGTTGTTATGCTGGTGAGCCTCAAGAGTCTTAACTGAAGCTATATACAACTCACTGCACTTCTTTTCTTTTCAGTCCAAGGTCGGGTGGTTTGGTAGATTATGATGATGATGACGACGATGAAGACTACAAACCACCCCAGCGGAAACAACCTGACACTTCAGACGAAGACAATGAAATGATGGAAGCCCTCAGGAAGAAGCGGAAGTTGGCTCCTCAAGAGGAACCTGAGATGGCGAAGAAGCAGCAACTGGTTAAAAAGCACAAGCCAAAAGATGGTGTATTTGCTTCCTTGTGTTCGACATTGAGTCAGGCTGTCCTACCTGGTAAGAAGACAATGAATGCTAGTCACACGAGTCCGTGTACGTCTTATGAGAACAAAAGCTCGGCTGAAGAAAATCACAAGACAGATCCTGCTATTTCTAGCAGCTCTTCTGATAGTAGTAACTGCAATTCTGATGAGGAAAATCACAGGGAAAAGGAGTCTGCAGCTTCTAGAAGTTACTCCAGCAGTAGTGTCTTGCATATTACTTCAGAAAACCGACAGTTGGGCGGTGACGATTATCCACTAATACCACCAAAATCCTCGCCTGAGATGACTGTGAACGGATCTTTAAGTTAATATTAGCATCAATCTTCTATCTGGTGACCTGCCGTAGTATTTTGATCTGTGGCTCATGGTTGTGCTTGGTGGTGGAAACTACTTGGTCCTGAGATTATATTAAAAGAGTACCAATGCACTCCCCAAAAGAGAAGTCAATCAACAGAATGGGAATGGAGTTAGTTTCCGGGCTCTCGGTTTCAGTCGAAGATGAAAACGTCTTACTGTATAGTGCGACTGAGCGGGGAAAGATGTCCACTCTCTCTCAATTTACCTCTTAGCTTTTTTACTCTGTAAAACATTTGGCCGTATTAATTTTGCTGGATAGCATTGTCACCTCTCCTCTCTGTGCCTCTATTTACTCTCCCTCTGCTCTCCCAACCCCGCTCCCTCCCTCGGGGATTACAGCTTCATATAATTTAGTTCTATCAGATTTTGAACTGTTATAGAAAAGGGCATAAAATTTTGCCCCATATTACTCTCTTTGAGATTAGGGACTTGGTTCTGAAAGGTAGAGATGAATATATACGTGTAGTCGATTGGAGCCAAAATTTTTCAGATGTAGAGATGAATAACAAGTGTAAATTAATTTTTAGTGAGTTCAGTTCTAATTTTGTTTCTGGTTGAAATTATTTGTTCTCAGATTTATTTTAATTCTTTTTAAAGGTTAAATAGCATTCTTGTATCTTCTAACTTTTGTTCTTGTATTTTTAACTTTGTATTTGGTCCTTATTTGCAAAATAACACAATTTTTTATAATACAATGGAAATTATTTAATGTAAAAGCTACATTTTAAAAAGTATAGAAATCAAAATGAATAAACATTAAAAAAACAAAATTCAGAATATTGCAGTCCAAAATTTTAAATTAGAGAGACTGAAGATCTTGACAGCCAGTGCTTCTCCTCATGGGTTTTAGCTATGCCCCTCTTCTTTCATGATGTTCAACTTCTGTGTTTGTTTACATATATATAATTACATTAGTTATTTTAAAATTTATAAAAGAGTTAGTAAAAAATATATATAATTACATTATTTTCCTTATATGTTTGTTTTATTATACATTTAATATTTTGGATATATAACAAATATCAAATGGAATCAAATTTTAAACTAAATATGAAATAAGTATAGTTTCAAAATTTTATCCATAATAAATATCTCAAAAAGAAAAAAAAAATCTGATGAAAGTGAGAGGTAATTTGGAAAGAAAAGAATCTCAATTTAATGCCCAAGTGACGATGAAGTTTACCATTCCTCCTCTTGTTAGCCCTATTTATTTGGAAAATCAAACAAATGGGCCGAAGTTTGAGGCCCACAAAAAGTTCCTTTGGGCTTTGGGACTGGGAACCCAATGATTAGAACTGCGAGCAAAGTTTCTCCCGCCAATAGAAGAAAACTGCTCTCGCTCGCCTGATCGACGTTTCTAAAACCGCAGCCCATTTGGGATCGTCGCGCTAACTGAGCTCTCCACTCCTTCAAAATCTCTCTCTCTCTGTCTAATTCTGTGTATTAGATTATAGCGCAGATTCCTTCTTCTTTTCAGCTGCTAAAACCCTAGGAGAAATCCAACTGTATTGAGCTCAGGGTTCATTCTATCTTCTGCAAGATGAGTACCATGAAATTTTGCCGGGAGTGGTAAGCGTTAGCATATCCGCACACTCGCAACACATGAACCCATTGTCGCTCTTGTTCTTCTGTATTAATTAGTTGAAGTCTATGGAAAGCGTTGAAAATTTGGAAATTGTTATGTTTCAGTAACAACATTCTCTACCCGAAGGAGGACAGAGATGAGAAGATTCTTCTCTATGCGTGTCGCAACTGCGATCACCAGGTACTTTGTATTCTTCGCCCTTCTCTTTCTTTAGTTTTCATCGTTTAGTTCTAAAAGTTTAGAAGATTTTAGATTGGTTAGTTTGGCTTTAATTTCTAATGTTATAGTTGCGACTTACGAGCACGATAATTTATCTTTCCGTTTCCTGTTAGGTTTCTATCGTTTTATTTCTGCGATCAAAGATAAATAACATTCTGTTTCTGTCTTGCTTTGTATTAGTTTTGACCTAGGACAAGAATATTTGAATATGATGCATGATTGTTGCGGTACTTATATTATCATTTTATCTCCTTTATTTTTCAACTTTGTAGTTGTACACTTGTCTATATATCCTTTAGGGAATGGGATAAAGTGGACTGATTTTGTAAACCTTTAGTCTTTAATGGTATCAGGACACTGGGTCTTTTCCTAGGGCAACTAAGATTTTGGGAACCTTAGGGTTTTGTGAACTTTGTGAGCCTTTAGGTTTGATGTTTGGAACACTTTCTTAAAGTGTTTGCCGTTCCATCCTCTTTCTATTCGTGTATGTGTGTTGGTCATACATTGGTCAGGTTGCGGCTTTGAAGGAAAAGTGATTCGGAATTCTTTGGATTATGTGATTCCAATCGTTTTATTTTTTCCATTTACTTCAGCTCTGAATCTGTGTCCTTGCCTTTGAGGCTATGGGTTAGAAGAAATCAATGGCGACGTTCGAGATGGTTCTGATAATGTCAACAATCCAGAAACTTAAGTTGAATGGATCCAACTACTATGCATGGAGAATAAATGTTTGTCATGTTTTACGGAGCATCGATATGGACGATCACATGACTGAAGATCTGCCGACTGATGGCACAAGAAAAGCTTGGTTGCATGATGATTCTAGGGTAATTCTATAGATCAGGAATTCTCTTGAGATTGAGATCGTTAACTTGGTTTATCATTGTGAGTTTGTCAAAGAATTACTTGAATACTTCGAATTTTTTTATTCTTGGAAAGAAAACATCAATAGAACGTTTGAAGTATGTAAATCCTTTTACCAGCCTAAGATGGGAGAGAAATCTCGTACGAGTTATTTTATGGAGTGCAAAAGAGCATATGCAGAGTTTAATTCATTGCTACCAGTTAGTACTGATATAAATGTGCAACATTCCCAACGGGAACAATTAGCAATTATGAGTTTTTTGGTTGGTCTCCCACCTCGATTTGATATGGCCAAATATCAAGTGCTCTCCGGTTCAAAAATCTCGTCATTGGAGGAGGCATATACTAGAGTACTTCACATTGAGAGGTCACAAATAGTCCCATCATCCCAGTCCAACAGTGATTTGGTTGGACGAACAAATGAGTATCAAGGTAACAGAAGAAAGTGTTCTAACAACCAAAGACAGAATTCTAACTCTCAAAAACCGAATTTGGGAGAGGTTGTGTGTCACTATTGTAATAAGTTAGGTCATACAAAGCATGATTATAGGAAGTTGTTGAATAAAGGTCGAAGGACTCAGTCTGATGATCCCAAAAGGTTAATTAAGATTTCTTCAAAAGAGTTCGCTAATTTCCAACAGTATCAAGATTCATTAGCGGCATCATCCTCTAATCCAACTATCGTCATTACTGAGTCAGGTAATACACGTAAATGTCTTCTTTTATCCTCATCAAAATGGGTCATTGACTCTTGATGCTACTCGTGATTTCAACTGTTGTATCTTATTCTTTTTTGGCTATTGCTTATTTCAGGATCTGACGATGAAGAGGACCATTGGTAGAGGGCATGAATCCCGAGGTCTCTACATGTTTGATGCTCTAGTGCCTACAACCATGACATGTACTAGATTGTCATCTCCTTTAGAAGAACATCGTCGTTCGGGCCATCCCTCTAAATCTTAATTTCACAATTTGTATTCTTTAGACATGTCAATTGTCTAAGTTTCATTGCCTAAGTTTGTATCCTAGACCCCAAGTTCGTATGATGATGTTTGGGGTCTTTGTCCTATTGAGTCCAAAAGTTTTCGGTATTTTTTTACTTTTGTCAATGATTTTTCTCCTCGTGTAACTTTGTTATATTTAAAGCAAAATTGTTTCGAGTAGCTTTCTCATTTCGTACCTTTCATGCTGAAATACAAACTAAATTTGGTGGTTTAATAAAATTCTACAGAATGATAATACTAAAGAACCTTTCTCTAATGTTCTTGGCTCTTATTTTGGCTAACTTGGTACTTTCATCAATTTTCTTCTCTTGATACTCCATCTCAAGATGGAGTTGCAGAATGAAAAAATAGACATCTCTTCATGTTTCACTTGCATGTTCCAAAATACTTTTGGTTGATGATGTTTCAACAACTTTTTTCTTGATTAATAGCATGTCTTCCTCGATTCTTAAGGGTGAGATACATTATCATTCTTTAGGCCCAACAACCAACCTTGTTTTCTATTAAATCCAAAATATTTGGTTGTACTTGTTTCGATTGAGATGTTCGTCCCTGACTCAAAAAATTGGACCTGTAGTCTTTGAAATACATTTTCCTTGGTTCCATAGCCAACAGCTAGTGCTACAACGACTTTTTTTTTTCCTCGCGTTCAAAAGGGTATCAGTGGTATGTCATGATCTCTATAAATATTTCGTCTGTCCTAACATTACATTCTTTAAGGGTTTACTTCTTTCTTTTCATCATCTTTTGAGTAATAGTCTAGGGGATCCTCTAGAGGAAGATAATGGCTTTCTTTCAATTCAATTGTCTCTTCTTGTACAGAAGTGTCCTATAGCGATACATCTCTATATATGTTTGCCTTATGTGAACAGTTTCTTCGTCATTATATCCAAGAACAAGCAATGATCTTCCTATTGCATTTTGCAAAGGTAAACGTCATCGTACTTCTCTTGTTTCCTCTTTTTGTTTCATATAACCATTTATCCTTTCATACTTGTTTATTCATTACATCATTTGAGTTTTTATCTATTTCTAAAAGGAAAATTATTCGTGAAGCCTTGTCTCACTCTAGTTGACGTGTTGCTATGTTAGAGGAGATTACTGTCTTAGATAACAACGATACTTGGTATTTTAGTTTCTTTTCCTATAGGAAAGAAGCCTATTGGTTGTCGTTAAAGTTAATCCTGGTGGATTAGTGATACGATTAAAAGCTTGTCTTGTTGCTAAAAAGAGAACTTATGGAGTTGACTGTTATGATACTTTTCTCCAATTGCTAAATTGGCTTCTTTACAATTTGAGGTAGAGTATTGTAGTTCAGAAATGAGACTAAATACTCATCAAAAATGAAAAACTAGGAACATAAATACTTGTCAAATGCTTAAACTTCTCAATAAAACTAGCAACAAGAGACAAGAACGTTACTAAATGGGCCCATATATCCTCCAATTTGAGGAGTATTGTAGTGCTCATGTTATTATATTTTGTATTATAATCCCCTCAAACATGCATGGCGTATTGTAGTGCTTATGTTACTAAACTCATACTTTAGTCTTTACAATGATTATGGCCTCAAATGCTCTCTGGTCTCTCCCTAATACAGTTTTCCTTGTGGCATTATATTATCTCTGTTTCAGAGCTTAGGCTTCTCTGAATTTCGATAGAAGTATTATTCCTTGCTTTATCCATGGCTGCTTTCATAGTTCATTTTGGTTTAAATAATTTTCAGGAATGGAAAATTTATGTAGATTATGATCTAACTATTTTTATTTTTAGTAAAATGTTTTATGTTGTACTCAAAGGAAAAAAAATTTATGCTTTACTGTTATTATTTAGAGAAATGCATTTACCTTGGAAAGAATATATTTCTAGATGAATGCAAGAAATAGCCCATTGACGCATCAGTGTGTTCCTTGTTTATATTTAATCTAGGAGAGGGAATATAACCTTTAGTTGGATAGATAAATCAGCCTTTTTTTTTAAATTTTTTAGGATAATATATTTTTTTATAACGAGAAGTAGAAGCTTTGCTCCCTTATACCTAGGGTATCCACATCAAGGGTTTTTGATATTAAGCTCATCAGTAGGATCGAAAACTTGAGACCTCTAAGTCAGTATGACCAGGAGACCCCAAGCCTTTGTCAACTGGGCTGCCCTCGAGGACTAATTTTTTAGGATAATATTATCGTTCCAATTCTAGAGGTTGGAAGTTTAATCTAATATTTGATTGATAGTAGTTATCTCTCTCCATGGGATCTTGAATTCATTAAAGTTACTTCACGAGTTTCATTTGGATTCCCCAGTTATTTTGTATTTATTTGCATCCTTATTTTATTTTTACTCTGCATATTATCTAGGTGGAGGTTCTGAGCCATTGTTCTTTCACCAATTGTGTATCTTCTCTACTTCTGTTCATTGCATATTTTCCTCATGGACCATTTGATCACTTCCTTTCTGTTTCTGAATTTTTATGAAACCAAATGAATTTCATTTTTGCTACTGGAAGATAGACCTGTTTTTGTATCCAGAGATTGATATCCCCCCCTCACTTCCGTTCCGAGTTTACTTACAGTCAGTGTATTGGAATTTTACCTACTGGAAGATAATGACTTGTATTTGTTTCTAGAGATCTTAGTCTCCTCTCCTCTGCTTCTGCTCTTTATTGCCCATTTTCTTTTGTATTGGGTTTGCAGGAAGTTGCTGATAATAACTGTGTCTATAGAAATGAGATCCATCATGCTGTAGGGGAACGGACTCAAGTTCTGCAAGATGTTGCTGCAGATCCAACTCTTCCTCGCACTAAAGCTGTTCGATGTGCTCAATGCAACCATGGAGAAGCTGTCTTCTTCCAGGTTTACTTCCTTTTTCTTTCCCGACATTGTCTTCCGTCTCAGTTCATCAGTGTTCAGCGATTTTCTTTCAACACATGTTTCATGCATTCTTAACTCCCAAAACTTTTATTTGGTTCCAAATTTCATTCTGCATTATCATCCTAATACTGCTGTGGATACTGATAAGAGTTCGCTTTTGTTGAATTTTCTGTCATCCTGATAAGGGTTACAAATTTGGTTCCCATCATGTTCATAACTTTGATACAATATATCTGGCCATGATCTCATTGTGTAACTGAATGCAGGCCACTGCCAGAGGGGAGGAAGGTATGACATTGTTCTTCGTTTGCTGCAATCCAAATTGTGGCCACAGATGGAGAGATTGACGTCAAATATATGCTGAACTTGTATTTCCTTTATGCAATCAAAAAGTTGTATTGGCGCGTAGTGTGTCGTCAATTGTTTGAACCATCTTATGCTTAGAGACGTCATCTTTTTTACATGGGCGTAGAATTGTGTCAATGTTGATCGATGAGAACTGCCAACCTTTTCTCAATGGATAAGACATAATTACTTTCTCTGTGTCAAAGGTTGGATCTATTATTAGCTAAATTTAAAAATTAAAATTAATTTTTCAAAAGTTGTTACTTTTTTTTAGTTTTCAAAATTTGGTTTAGAATTTGAAAATGTTTTAAAGTTCAGAACAAATATTAATAAGCTTAATTTTTCTGCTTAATTTTTAGAAATAGGAAGTAAAAGGTGTTAAATTTTCATCATGTCAATATTTCTATTTGTCAATGAATGTGACGTGAGGGTTGGTTGACATGCACACAACATTACGAATATAAATATAATATTAATATTAGTAATTTATAATTTATTTAAAAATAAAATACTTATTTATTAATTCAAATATTTATGAATTTTTTATTTTTATAGTTCTTTCAAAAATATCCATAGGCACCAATATTTCATTGATATTTCTATTAATATTTTTATATAAAACTGATACATCGACATCTTTGAATCGATGTCAATTTTACCTTTAATTATTTTTAGTATTTGAAGAAAATATTTTACATATCTCATCGACCAAAGCAGATATCGGGAATGCTGAATATTTTGATTGATTTGTTATTGCCGTGGATGTCGTATACACAAATGAATCCCTTTCCTTCCTTCCCTCGCTAATTTCCTAGTAGACCCTCAAATCTTCCATATCTAAAGGATATAAATGAAACGTATTCTTTTGATCAAATTGGGAAAAGAGAAAAAAAAAAAGAATTATCTACATGCTGGAGATGGAGAAATACCCAATGGGCATCTTCAACCTAACATTGGCCAATAATTCTACCAAAATTCTTAAAATGCTAAGAGGTATTTTACAAGAAGCTATAAAGGCGTCACATTGCGATTAAACCAGTCCCACAAGCGTCTGATTTTCTTCGACATATCTTCGTTCTTTGCCACGAATGATTCGAAATTCGATAGCATTACCATGAAGTCGTGCTTCCAAGCTTCCAAGCTTCGATAGTAATCGTTCTGTAACCTTTCCTGGATAATTTCAAGGCACAAGGGTACAGGAAACCTATACAAGAGACCAAAATTATAAACATATACCATATACACAGATCTGTCGGTGGAACTGTAACGTGATAAAAGACAGAATTAAAGCTTGATTTAGAGAGCTCAACATGATGGGTCAGCGAATTGATAGCAGGAGGAATCTATTAAACTACCTGTTCTTATACTGTGTCTTCCTTGAGAGAAGCATCAAATCTTGAATCCCATAACGACCCTGAGATTTTAAGGGCAACATCAGAATACACCTATTATATGCATAAAAACAGAAAACATAGCAATCTTGAATGACCAAACTACCTGCATAGAGGTCGACATTAATTTGTCAAAGGCAGTTAATAACTTAGCTTTGTTCTCATCATCTATTCGAGGCTGTTCCCACTGAGTAACAGTATCATAAAGTTCCCAAGGACTGTGTAAATGTGGTTCTGCAGGATCGCTCCTATACTTAATCGTGTACCTCTCCCAAGGACTTTCTGGAAACTCTGAAGACTTTGCCTGCACGGACACAATCCGACCATCCCACCAACTACCATCTACTCCAACGTCGTTTTTCCACCACACTTTGCACTTATCCCTGAATGTCCAATTCCTCTGCATTGCTGCTTCAAACCGAGTTCTTTCAACTAAGAAGTCAGGGAAACTAGTCAACTCAGGCAGAGTTAACTTGAAAGATTGGAGGTATACATGGGAAGCAGGATCTATGAACTTAAGCAGCATTTTACAGCAACTATCTCCAGAACCTGCAGAAGTGGAATAATCAAGCTCCACAACCTTACAAAACTCAACAGCTCGAATGGTTCCTCGGATTGAGGTCCAAGGTCCCATTTCTTTTGTGTGACAGTAATTCGCACAACAGTGATCTATGTATTCTTGATGGCCCTGTCAGGAAAGTATTCACATTTCATTAATAATTAATGGAAACCATAATTGTCACAAAATTAAGAATGAATGTAAAAAATCAGGCAGAAGTAAGCCATCCATGATGTACTTACCTGCCTCAGATACGCAACTTCATCCCCAAGTTGGGGAATATATCTGGAGCCACCCTCATGTGCAGGCATCATTAACCACGACCCTTTTCTGGTATATTGAACTGACTTTCTTCTGTCTATTGGATTTATATCTTGGGTATAACTACCCCTTCTGTTTCTAGTGGATCTCGATCCAACTGTCATCCTTGAGCTTGATCCCCACTCTTCACATGGCATATGGGATCTGTTTGCAGAAGAATTACCGGAACGTCTTGACTTCTGTTCAGGTTCTTGCTCTTCTTCCGATTTTAGATCATCGCCCACATTATTTATATCATATGAGGAATCCTTCAACCTTAAAGATCGTGTCTTACGAAGAATACTTTTGTGACTGTCTGCTTCAGCATGTAGACTTATGTTGCCCAAAAATGAAGCATTTTCCCCTGAGCCACAACCATTGCTTTCTACATTGCTCTTTCCTTTGTTTGACTTAGATCTTGTATAGACCGCAGTGTACATTTTGTTTGTCTCTACTGGCAGCTCTGATGAGTTGCATAAGGTTGACAATGGTTTTTTATCGATCAAAATGTCCACATCTTGAGGGCAATCATTTCCATGATCAGAATAAGTTCCATTCATGACATTATCCTGCAGCCCAATTAGATTTTGTGGGCTTCCAGATAGTGTATTGTATTCATCATTCTTCGATCTTTCATCTAAAGATTCAATTTTGTGCTTCAAAGAACGTTCAGGATCCAAAGAAATACTCTTGAACCTTATCTTTGTACACATTGGTGCAATATTTTCAGTTTGCTCAGGAGCGGAAGTCCCGTTTTGTATTGATGTGGTGGTTTCATTAGAAGGAAACATACAATCTAAATGATTTGACTCATCATGATCACATGACTTGCTATTGCTAAAACAGTTAGGCTCTCCACCATTGACCATCTCCCGAAAATGCCCAGAAGAATTATCGTCCCAACCGTCTTTCAAATCCAGAAGGGATACTGTGTCCATTTGACCTGCACAATTCTGTATATTTGAAAGTGGGGACGGTACACCAAATTGATTTTCTGATTCTAAATATTCATGGACAGTATTCTCATTTTCATTATGATCATCGCTGGGAAACGAACTAGGCCCTTCATATGCATCAGAAGGCATAGTTTCAACCAACCTTATACGCTTGGATGAACGAACCCTGGACCCTCCCCATCTTATGTTCCCATTTGTGTAGACCTCCATCAGTTCAGAACGTCCTTCAGTATTTCCTAATTGCCTCTCTGATCTCATAAGATTCTGACTGGCTTCAATGACTTCCTTTGGTGATCTTGATGATGAGCTAGCCACATCAGCCATGTTGGAACAAGTAAGTGTTGTGGTTGAAGGAGGATCCACTTTATTTGGATTCTTAAGGGAGAATTTAAGGATCAACTTCTTTCTGTTTCCAGCATCGACACGAGATTCAGCAACATCAAGAGATTTTACAATATCCTCAGTTTGATCTAGGAATACTTCTTTCCCTTTTGAATGCTTATTTCTGATTTGCAACGACCTTTCATAATCATCACTCTCAATGTCTGACTCTTGTAATGTAGATTCACTTTCTGAGCAATCACCTCCTGATTCATATTCATCCTCTCCATCCGTAGATTTCCCCTTAAATGATGATATCCAATTACGCGCATTCCGTGCAGCAGCTCTTTGAGGTCTTAACAACTTCAGTGTTGATTTCTTTTTGGAAGGCTTATGGCCAGATTTTGTCTTCCGACTTCTGGAACTCCTAACAATATCACCTTCAAACTCATCCATATTCCGTCTTTTAACACGCCTGCCTGAAGAAGTCATGACCTCAATCTGAAATGTTGGTGAAAGGAATATATCAAGCAGATAAAAGAAAGAGTTCCATTTCAGAGGGAAAATGTTAAAAGGAAAAGTGATACAATACTCACGTCTGCTTTCAGCTTTTTCCTTTTTGATCTACGTAGACCATCAGCAGGAGCATCATCAATCCCTGTGTCATCAGAGCTGCATTCCGGATCAGTTGAGCAATTAGAGTTAGGACTTCTTTGCTCCCCACCAGTAGAATAATCTTCAGTGACATTGTATTCTGAATCAGTATCGTCACTTTGTACTTCATTTTCCGGTCCCCAATCCATTGCATCTACAATCTCAGGCAGTGGTTCAATCAACATGTCTAAGTCAGCCAAAGGCAGCAATTGGTAGTCTGGGTCGAGATTGAAGTCAGGCCCAACAGAAAGTTTTAGAGAAGAGGGACGCCACTCAAGACCCATAGCACCTAAACGTCTTTGCTGGTAAGCAGTCTGATAAGGTTCTGGATAAGGTATCATGCCTACCATTTTTCACCGCACAAGAAGCAAACACAGATTGAATTAAAACCAAAGTGAAAACGTATTCCAACATCAGTTGGGGTAGAGGGAAACCTGAGTCAGAAAGGAGATCTTGCAAATTCCGTCTGTAAGTACTGAGTTGGGTTTCCTGAATCAGATATTGGCACAATCAGTATAATAAAACATCATTAGAAATAAAATAAACATGAAGGATAAAATAAAAGAAAAGAAACGAAACTGATTCCATAAAAATCATGCTACAATGCAGGAAGTCTCTCTAATTTAGCATAATCTTTTAGAAGGTTGCTGTTTGATAGGGGTAATTTTTTAAGGGATCTTTTTTGGGTAGTTTTCTTTGGTCTTATAGAAAGTTTAGAAGAAGGGGGTTTCAAAAGGAACATTTCTCGTGCATCAAGTATAAGCAGCTTAAAGGAAAAGAGAGAGGAGTGAAAAGAAAATGAGAGAATTGAAAGAACCAAAATAGAAAAAAGAACGAAAAGAAAGAGAGAGAAAATGGCAAGGGAAAGAAAAGCAGGGAAAAAATAAGTTAGGATAAAAGCAGAAAAATTTTGAGAAAAAAAGGAAAAAGGAAAAATGCAATCAGAAAGTTACTTCCTGAAGATTTTTCGGGTTTTAAAGAATTGAACTACGAAGGTTTAATCGAGTCATATACGGGCAGCTTCGCATTTTAGATTGGTTGGTGGTTCTGGGTTTTAAAGCTTGTGGTCTTCAAAGGATCTTCACTCTGCCTTCTGGTGGTGTTGTTTGTAAAGTTCAATACGAAGGTTTCTTCATACATCAAGTTCCTTCCTTCTGCTGCAAACAAAATGCAATCAGCAAGTTCCTTCCTTTCTGGAGAAGTGAAGTTGCTACCATCAAGATCTTGTTTTGTTTTGCTATTTGTCTAGAGTTAATAGCTGAATTAAGATTTTTAGGCTTGCTCTCGTGAGTTTGGTTCAGAGTTCTGTAATTCAGTTTATCTTTTAGATTTCCTTGTCCCTCATATGTTGTTGGTTCTCTCAATTAATTTTTCATTCCATGAAAACTTCTATTTCTTTTCCCAAAAAATAAGACTGTCTAACAGTCTTAAGAAGTAGCATTAAGGTGGGGGTTAGAATCATGCCACGGGTCTCAGGATTTGAATAAAAAAGTCTGATCTTAAAAAATACATTTTAAGCTTATGGCTATTGGCCCCAAGGAGGCCTGTTGGCAAGGGCTAGGAGTCTCCTCTTAGTCATACCGATTAGAGATCTCAACTTCGATCAACTTTCGGATGAGCTTAATACAGAAAACCCTTGGCGTCTCCCGGTCTAGGCCCTAAAGTGGGTGCGAGGGAGGGTGCGGGTGCCCTGGGTATAGCGGTGAAAAGTTTCGACTCCCGGTTATCCAAAATAAGTAAATAAATATATTGTGGCTATTCAATTGACCCCTCCAAAAGGCTTCAACCTATGAATTGGTCTGGATAACTAAATAAATATATTGTGGCTACTCCAAAAGGCTTCAACCTATGAATTGATCCAAGCTGGATCTGAACTTTGATCCATTGGACCAAACCTATAGATTTCAACACGAGTAAGTTTTTGGAGATTGGACTAACCTAACCCAACCCAACCCCAGACAGTACGCTTCTATTGGGCATTGACCTATATTTTCTCGAAGGTGAGGTAGGCTAGCAATATACATTTCAGGGCTATGGTGGAGTAGGGGTTGCTTTTGTCCCTCTTTTCGAGATATAGGGGCCATGTAATTTGTGGGATATTTGAATTGAGAGGAATATTAGAATCTTCCGGGAGGAAGAGAGGTCTTGGGAGTTTGTTTGAGATGTTAGATTCAACACTTCTTTATGGATGTCTGTTTCTAAGGCGTTTTGTAATTACAAGTTAGTTATTATCCTTTTGGCTTGGGGCCCCTTCTTGTAGGTGGATCCTCTTTTGGTGTTTTTGGTGGGCTTGTTTTGTGTATGCTCCTTGTATATCCTTTCATGTTTCTCAATGAAAGTTCAGTTTCTTATCAAAAAAATGAATATATATGTGTGTGTGTATGTATGTACACATACATACATTTTTTTTTTTTTAACAAGAAACAGACTTTCATTGATAATATGAAAAGGAAGAAAAATGTTCAAGGAAACACTCCCAAAAGGAGCGAAAAATGAAAGAAAAAACGCCCAATAGAGAACAAAGCTGTAGAAGATACAAGAAAGTAGAACTAAAACCAAAACCACGCCCTCCAATCTGCAACATATACATACATATATACACACTGTAGGGCTCACGTTTCTGATGTGTTATTAATGAATGAAAAATATTTCAAATACAAACCACATACATCAATACTATGTCAGCGCAGGAAACTGAAAGCAGCCAAGATATTATTTCAGAGATGGCATGAAGACAGAGGAAGCACATGTATAAAGCATGCACAAGTAATCATCGCAGACCAGTAGAAATCCCTTCATCACATGCCATTAAAACAACATAATATACAGAGTTTTCCTACCTGGTCAACTACATTGCCGGAAGGATCCTGAATAAGTGGGCGATAGTCACCAAGAAAGAACTGCAGTAAAGGCAAGACAAGCAAGCATTTAAAACAGTAGCAAAACATATGATCATGAAGGAAACCAAATCAGTGCTCAAAAAATTAGCAATGAACTCAAGTACCTGATCATATTTGGCATCCTGTTGGGATTCTCCTTGCCCTGTGCTTAATATATATAGCTGGCCAACATCATCTGAAAGTATAATTGATGTCCCGTCTCTATATCACAGAGACAAAACTAAGACATTATGGTATAAGCATACGTGAGGGATACACATAGTGAAAAAGTAACCTCTTGTATTAAAAAAATCTCAATATAAACAAAACCGATCTATTCATGCAGTCACCTCAATACATATGTTCAACAATATGAACCTATTACATTGGCAATTATAGTCGGGCAAATATTGACTTGTCTACGTCCAATACTCCACTAAGTTTGACGTGCTTTTTAGATATTATCCAACTTCAGCATCCTGTATCACTCAATTATAACTTCTGGATTCGTTATATCCACAAAAGCATGCTGGAGATTCCCAATCTTCAGTATAAACACCATACTTTATGGCACATTGGGTAATCAAAAGTTCTCCCCAATTTTTTTAAAGTGTGAGGCACATGGAAGTGCTATAGCCGTTGAGGCTTAAGAATGGAACGCCAAAAAATAAGAGGCAAAAGAACTAGGCTAATTTTGCATTACATCGCTGATGTAAACTAACTCTACTTAAGTTAGTTTAGTTTAAGTTGTTTTGGTAGTTAGCTCTTTACTGTTAGGTTATTTCTTTTTACCCATGGCTTTCCTCTATAAATAGGAGCCTTGTAAACCTTTTAGGATAACTTCACTCTCAATAAAGATTTGATTCCTTTAACCACACTAATCGCGCTTCCACAAATTTGTTTTGTCAACTATCCCACATACTGAATACAACTATCGGAAAACATTAAGCATCACTCTACATTGACAAAAAATAACAAGACACATCATGCCATTATGCTGCTTTATTCCAGTAATGCCTTTCGAACCTCTCAAGCAGAAGCACAAAAAACTACCTCAAGAACCATATCATGTCACAAGACAATATGTCTTATTTAAAAAAAATGTCACAAGACAATATGCTTTACAAAGGTGAGAACATTAAATTAGAGAGAAATCAAGAATATGAAATTCAATTTGACAACTTTTAATATGAACTTACGATGAAAACTTCCCATCCACCAGTTTGAAATGAGAAATTTCATATATCCGAATTGGTGTGCCTTCCCAAATCTAAAATAAAAAACATAAAACAAAAGCCCTCATGAATAAGTAAGAAATTGAAAAAAACTTCAAACGAAAAACTGAATAGGACCCAAAAACTCACATCCCAAACTATTGTTTTCCCATCATATCCAGCACTCATAGCAATCCTTGGATTAAAAGGATGAACATCGAGTACATATGTCTGTCAAGGATATAAATTGATCTTATCAGAACTTACAACTCCAAAGTGGATATATTTGGGCCAACTAGCCAATTAAGAATTCTCAAGCAATAAATGACAACTGTTTTTTCAAGAGACAGAAACTGCTAATATTGTTCTAGTACAGTTTTACTCTTATTTTCTTCATTTCATGTGGCGGATACATTAGTGATCCAATTTTCTTAGAATGGTTGACATTTTGACTCATGGGCTAGCTAGTTTCAACTTTCAAGTAATAGATGATCAACAATTAGCATGAGGTATTGCAATATTTAGTTTTGGGTATGATAATTCCTCGTTATTAATCTCAATCTCTTCTGGTTAGTGAATCCAGGTTAGCACCTGAAATAAAATTACATGTTAATCCGTGTGAGAACCTGAAACACGAGTATGAAACTTTGGTCATAAATGTACTAGATTGTTCTTGTCATAAATCTTTCTGCAAGTAATCTCATCCTTTGAAACCAAAAAGAACACCCCCATCTTTAATTCCATCCTTCCTATCATATCTAACATGTCCTGAGTTAATCCTAATCAGATTGGGAAATCACCCGAATCGACATTTTTTCAACTCTAGAGTAACTAAAAAATAATAATGAGACCTTAATTGATTTAGCTCCTTCAACTAAAACACAATTTCATCCGGACTATATCTACCATTTAACGACTTACCATAAAACCCTGGACAATATAGGTGCTGCTTGGAACAAAGAAAACATAAATGCAAGGACGAAATAAGAAACTATCTTTATGAAACTATGACTAATACCATATAATGCAAAAATAATCTTAAGAGACATGAATGCAACGCAACTACTACATAGGACTTCATAGAAGTCACTCCTAAACTTTCTGATAAAAAGATCACGTGAACAGGCTAATCAAAAAATTCTCAAATAAATAAACCACTTACTGATTCAGTATGACCTGTCAAAGAGTGTACTAAGCTGCCATCTGAAGCGTTCCAAACACAAATTCTACAATCTGTATAACAAAGGCAAAACACTGCTAGGTTGATAAAATCATATATAACTTAAATATATACAGAAATTATATATATAAATATATATATATATATGTGTGTGTGCGCGCGCGCTATAACGTACTATAAAAGAAAAACTAAAAGATTCAATAGTTGATTTTTTGTTTTGTATAAATTTTGATATTGGAATTAATTTCTAGAGAAATGTTTTCTTTACTCATGTCAAAAATGTAATCGGGAACATGTTATAGATACAATCAAATTTCAAGTTTCAGGTACCTAACAAAAGAGACTCACAAAGGTATTCTACATTCTCTAATATATTTGATAGTGAGGTAGAGAAAAGCTGACCCATTATAGCTGCCAACACAAAGCGGTTATCTAGGCTCCAAATTATCATATTTACACCACGAGGGGTAGGAAGAATCCTCTGACGAGGGCCACCTCGTGCAGGTTGTGGAGGCATTGGTGGAGGTGGGACTTTCAAATGGTATGCACGAGTCCAGCGACCAACCTTCCCCTGAAACAAAAATATATCATTAGAAATCAGAGAGATATTAAAGATATAAAATAATAAAACTATATCTAATGCACCCATTGAAGGAACCTACAAAAACTCCTTTCCATCACATCACGAGGAGTAGAGAGCAACATAAGCAAGGAATCGTGTAAAAACTTACATGTGACCTCCGTGATCTTGGAACCCAAATAATTGCACTGCCATCACGAGAACAAGTAACTATATTGTCATAAGTGAACCTGGAACCAGAGAGGAACTTAGGATAAAGATGCTCCATAACAAAGGAAAAATGCACAACCGATCTGGTATTTTTCTTATTCTACTACTAAACCCATATAATATTTTCCATTTTCCACCCACACATAAGCAATTTTTTTTAGTACCACATAAGCGATTTTTTTAATACCAATCCACAATCCATCTGGTATTTTTCTTGGTCAAATTTTTCCAAAATTAAAGATATATGTGTGTCATTCACATGGATGCCAATGGTCTCTCATTAGACTTTCCACCAATTTGGTACAGAACTTAGTGGTTTTCACCCAATAACACACCAAATGTGAAGATAATTGAAAAACACACACGCAAAATCAAGGAATATTATATAATGAGAGACTTTACGGCCTACATCCGTAGGTCAGAGAAGTACTTTTGACAAGGCATGGAGAGGGATCATGTAAGTCCAAAAACCTTAGTACAAAGGACTACAAAATTTAGAACTCCAGGAGTCCAAAAGCAGAATTGGCAAAAAGAAAACGAAATTATCAGCCGTTGTTAACGATATCTTATTATAATCAATTATATCCTCTAGCTCTACAATCTTTTCCCACCAGAAATAGCAAAACGCACCATGAGTTTTTAAACTTGTGAACGTTGTCTTCCTTCGCAATGTCAGTGGTTGTAAATCTTGATGCTACTGCACATCCACTGCAGAAATATAGCAAGAGTAGATTAGCATGAAACTTATAATAATATAAAAGAACCTATACAATAAGAGGTTCTGACCTGAATTGCACATAATTGACATCATTTTCATGACCAGCTAATACATCAATCTCATGATTCGGTTGTTCTGGGTTATCATTGTTTCCTTTATAGGCACTCCAAACCTGCTAGGTAAAAGATCATGTGAAGATTAGTTAACAAAGTATAACTGATTTGTCTAGACTATTAGAACTTATCCTTGCTTCAAAGCCTAAAAGTAAGGCATGAAAATAACTCAAGGGTTAAACCAAGATTAGGATTTTATTTGAAGAAAACAAATTAATTTACCCTTGCTAGAGTATCTGAACTACCAGTAACAAAAATAGTTCCACAAGCATTAAATGCACAGCAAAATATTTGATGGCTCTGCGGAAGAGTACTGACGGAAGAGACTCCGTTTCTTGCTGCAGCCCAAAAGTTATTGCAATAAGTTTAAGAAAAACAAGATATCAATGATATCGACAGAAATATAAAAGCAAAAGAACTTGTAGAGTTGGAATCCAACCAGTCACAGAGTCCAAAGGCCTCGGAACATAAATTCGAGGAGCATTCTGGGAAGAGCTCCGAGCATCCCATATCCTACATGTCCCATCATCTGACGATCTACACAAAACAAAAAATCCTACAGAGTTATTTCATACAAAAAGTACATATTTTTTACTCCTTAGTGGTTACATGCAGAAATTGATCATTAAGTCCAAATAAAATATAAAACTGCATCTAACAAGTTTTTTTTTTATATGAGAAACAATTTCATTGATGGGTGAAATTACATGAAGGGGGAAAAGTCCACAAAAAACCAAAGGAGTTACAGAAAGCTTCTCCAATTGGTTAATAGAGAGTTCATATTATGTGAATGAAAATAGGGGATGCTTTACACCACAAGAGACCCCAAACCCTTCCCACCATGAAGCTCCTTGCGGGCACATTGGGGGCACAGTTTCATCCATTTAATAAATACACCAAATATAATGTCATCTTAGGAGAGGGGATGAGAAAATGAAGGCTTTTTCTATACAAGATAATAACTCCTCATTGATAAATAAAAAGGAACAAGAGAGAGAAAAAACAAAATAAAGAAAAGAAAGGAAGCAAGAACCCCATGGAGGGAAATACAACTCAATTAAACAAGAAATATAATAAACATTAATACGAAGAAAAGCTTTAGCCCGAACCCAAATAGAAGATTGTCAAAGTCGACGACAGCCAAACCGATCTTTAAAAAAAAACACCTCAAGAATCTCGACTTCAAGCACAACATCAAAAACCAAGGCTTTGTACTTCTTAAAAAATTTAGCATACTTTTACAATCTCAGGCTCGAATTTGGCTTGCACCTCAAGTTTTCTTCCTACGATGAAATTCTAAGCAAAAAGCCATTTCTTTGTGAAGCATTTCCAATTTCAGATCTAAATGAGCAATCCAGTCATTGAGGTCAAGAATAAAGTGGCCAGATGACTCATTATTGGAACCATGTGAAGAGTTGGCAGAGACTCCATTGAAACACTCAGAAGAAGGAAAATGTGAATTCATTTGATCTTAAAAAAATGAAAACTCAAGACTCAAAGATCCTTCAAATGAATAAATAATCAAAATAGAAACTTTTAACTTCCAAGGGAGATAGAAAGACTGCAATCCTAGGGAACCGAGATGAAAATCAGTGAACACACGCCACAACTGCACCCAATAGGAATCTGCCTACAAAGAAATAAAATTAAACTCCCAATGCAACCAATTAAAAGCTCCAGTCAAAGAGAGAAAATACTTGGGCTATGATATGACCATTGAAAACCCAAGGCACAATTAAAATCATATCATTAAAGCAAACATATGGCCTTTCAGGTTCAACTTTTATAAAGAATGCTAATCCTCGAGGAGGGAAGATGGTTAAACTTCTCTTTTTCCTTTTTAACAAGAAATGAACTTTGCATTAGTGTATGAAAAAGAACAGAAATTGTTCGAAGATACAAACTCTCAAGAGAATGAAGTGAAATAAAAAAATAACATAAAGTAAATGATGATTATATAGGAACGATAGAAGCGCCACAATCGGAACAAATGAGATTAGGAGAATGATTCTCAAAAAGAACAGAAAGAAAACTCCATTAAGAAGCTTTAAACTTGACTAACTGAAGCATTCGAACGAAGATTTGCTCTTGCCCTCGAAGATCCAAAGCTTTCTTTCGGACCATAATTCAGATAATATAGCTTTGGTAGCGTCAGTCCAAAGGAGGCAAGCTTTGGAAGATAAAACAGGGCCACATAATAGTTCGAGCAAATTATCCACAACTTCTGAAGTGAAAACACATCCTAAGTTGAACTCACCTTTTGACAGGAAACCTAAGATAAATATATTATAAACAGAAGAACCGAAACAGCCATAAGGAAAGGCCAGGGGTAGAGAGAACCCCCTCCCAAAACCACTAAATGATGGTTTTCCAGTTGTTCACATAATAAAACCAGCCGTGCAAACTGTAGGGGCAATGAAAAAAGAGATGGGCCTGGCATTCTCCATTGGCAGCACATAAGAAACAAATTGAAGGAAGAAGGTAGCTTCCTTTGAAGAACTTCAGCTGTATTTACTTTTCCTTGTTAGAGAATCCAGATGAGTATGCTAACCTTCATTGTACTCTTTGATTTCCAAATAGCAGTAAATAAATCCTTAAGTAAAGAAGTAGGAATACATGGCCTGCATAATAAAGCAACCGAAAAAACACCCGAAGGCTCCAAAATCCAACATCTATGGTCTTCTTCATTAATGAGAGCGGTTGGACTTAAAATGGACAAAAGGTCTACGCATTCTTCTATTTCATCGTCGTTCAGAATCCTCCTTGTTTCTACTTTCCATGATTAAGTGGTTTGATCCCAAAAATCAAAAGACTGTACCAAGGGCTTCAAAACAACTTTGATTCCAGAATTTGAGTAGTAAGCCCTTAAAATCAATCCAACCTCCATACCCTACTTACTACAACCTCAGGTTTGCTATACTTTGCATGAGAGCATTTCTCAATTTTTATATGGACAACACCAATTTTCTGTCATTTCCCATTCACGCCAAGATCCTTTAACATCCTCCCATCCTCCATTCTCCATAGAGCTTTATCAGCCATAAACAGAATTATTGAACATTCAACCTCATATTTCTTTTGCAAAGCAATGGTAATCTCTTTCCAATCATCATGGGCAAAAAGCCCAGAGATAACCATCATTGATTTCCAGGTCATCTCAACAACCTATACTTTTTGACCCTATAAGCTTGTTGAAAATCCAATCTTGGCTTGAATGGACCAATACACTCCTTAGTTTTCTGACTTTGAATCTTCTTTGCCTTTATATTCCTAGAACTTGATGTAGAGCCACTAGTGAATGATCCATTCTCAACTTGTTTCAACAAAGTCCCAGACCATCCTCTCTGATTATTATTTTTTTTTATAAGAAACAATACTTTCATTGAGAGAAATGAAAGAACGATACAAAAAATGGAGGGCGAACAAAAACAGCCCCGAAAAAAGGGAAACCCTAAAGAAACGGGCTCCAATCCAAAAGAATGAAACCTTAGAGACCGAACCCCATAAAGAAGTGTTAAATCTAATGAGTTCCCAAACGAACTCCACAAAATTCTCCACCCCCTAAAAACCCTATCTAAATATTCTATCTAAATATCCTCCCAAAAGTAAGTGTTCAGACCCTCCCCCATTGAAACCCATAAAGACTGAGAGAGAACAGGAAGACACGAAGTGGGTAGTCTCCGTCGGGGTCGAGAAAGGGAGTCTAGGAGCCTTTGAAGTGGGTAGGGAGAAAGTGACCCTCTCTCACCTTCAGTTTGCAAATGATACTGTCTTTTTCTGTTCTTTTTTTGTTCTTTTTCTGTTCTTTTTTTGTTCTGATAAGGACAGTGCTTTCAATAATCTTAACTGCCTCCTTGGTTTTTTTGAAGCTCTTTCTGGCTTTAAGATCAATCGAGGCAAAAGCTCTCTTTTGGGGGTGAATTGTGACGTGGGTAAGCTTAGAGAGTGGGCTTCCCTGGTTGGGTGCAAAGTTGGTGAGTTTCTTTCCTCCTATCTTGGTCTTCCTTTAGGTCTTAACCCTAGGAGTGTGACTTTCTGGACGTCGGTGTGTGAAAAGGTGCAGAAGCGCCCTTCTTCTTGGAAGAAAGCGTATTTTTCTAAAGGAGGGAGACTTACATTAATTCAATCTGTTTTGAGGGGAATTCCGTCTTACTTTAAGATCCCAGCGGCTGTTAGTGAGGGACTAGAAAAGATCATGAGGGATTTTCTTTGGGAGGGAGTAGAGGAGGGTGTGGTACTCATCTAGTCAATTGGAAGGTGGTTACAAAGCCTCTAGATGCGGGGGGTTTGGGCATTGGAATCTTGAGGCTTAGGAATGAGGTGGCTATGTCGCTTCTTCTATGAACCTAGGGCCCTAGGGCCCTATGGCGAAGGATCATTGTGAGTAAATACGGGCATCACCCGTTTGATTGGGTCCTTGCAGGTGGTCTCAAGGTGAGCAATAACAATCCCTTGAAGGCTATCGCTTCGTGTTTCCCTGCTTTTTCTCGTTCTCTTCATGTTGTTGTGGGGGATGGTCAAAATACTTATTTCTGGGAGGATTCGTGGGTTGGTGATAAACCTTTGTGCCTTTCTTTCCCTCGATTTTATTTTCTATCTGAAAATAGGCTTCTTTTGGTGGCCGAGATTTTGAATCCTGGGGGGGAGGTTAATTCCATTTCTTTAGGCCTCTCTCGTCCTTTGACGGATCGGGAGTCTTTCGAGGTGTTCGAGTTGTTGGTATTGTTGTCTGAGGTGTCTTTATTTGCTGGGAGGGAGGATGTGAGGGTGTGGTCCCCCAACCCCTCGATATGTTTTTCTTGTAAATCTTATTTCGATATTTTGATTACCCCTTCTCCTTCTTCCCCTTCAACCTGTTGGTTCAACTTTTTTTGAAAGATTAAGATTCCGAAGAAGATTAAATTCTTCGGGTGGCAAGTTCTACTTGGGAAAGTCAATACTTTAGATCGTATCCAAAGGATGTCTTCCTTTTGTCTGAGCCCGCAATGGTGCGTTCGCTGTAGGAATGCCTCTGAAGATTTGGAGCACTTGTTATGGATTTGTCAGTTCGCTCAGGATGTTTGGCTCCGTTTCTTTGATTGCTTTGGCTTGTCTTGGGTCCGTTCCAGAGATTGTAGGGGGATGATGGAGGAGGTGCTGTTACACCCCCCTTTTTCGTGACAGGGGTCGTTTTTTGTGGTAGACGTGTTTTCTGGCTGCTATTTGGGGAATTTGGTTAGAGAGAAATAATAGGCTGTTTAGGGAGGTGGAGAAATCCGTTGATTATGTTTGGAATCTCATTAGATTTAATACTTCTTTATGGGGCTCTGTTTCTAAGGCCTTTTGAAATTATCCGTTAGGTCTCATTCTTTTGGATTGGAGTCCGTTTCTGTAAGGGACTCCTCTCGAGGTTGGTTTTTTTGTAGGCCCCTTTGGTTTCTTTTGTTTCTCTTTTCATTCTTCTCAATGAAAGTATTGTTTCTTATCAAAAAATAAAAATAAAAAAAAAATAAGGAAGACACGAAGCAATAGCCTTCCAAGGGTTACCTTAGACACACCTGCTAAACCCAGTCAAACAGATGAAACCCATACTTGCTTACGATAATCTTTCGCCACAAGGCATTAGGTTCGTGGAAGAAACGCCCAAGCCATTTAGCAAGGAAAGCCTCATTCCTAGTCTCAAATTCCCAATACCCAAGCCTCCTACCTCTAGGGGTTTAGACACCTCTTTCCAATTCACGAGATGAGCCCCACCCCCCTCCTCCACGCCTTCCCAAAGAAAGTCCCTCATTATCTTCTCTAAACCTACACTCACTGATACTGGGATCCTGAAAATGGACAAAAAGTAGTTCGGTATTCCTCTCAGAACCGATTGAATTAAAGTGAGTCTCCCACATTTCGAGAAGAAGGCCTTCTTCCAAGACGAGAGGCGTTTCTGAAACTTTTCCAGCACTGGCGTCCAGAAGGTAGCAGGCTTAGAATTATGACCTAAAGGAAGACCTAGATAAGAAGACGGGAATTTGCCAACATCACAACCAACAAGGGACGCCCACTCATTGCGCTTACCATCTTCACAGTTGACGCGCAATAAAGAACTTTTGGCTTTGTTAATCTTCAGGCCTGAAATAGCTTCAAAGAAACCAAGGATGCAATTCAGATTCTTAAACGCACTAGAACCATCCTCTCTAATTATTAGATACCACAATACTACTTCTCTTTCCATAACTAGATATAGAAATTCATTCAAGATTCCAACCTTGAGTATTACAACTCTTTAATTATCACAAATACCAAACTCCCCATGCTTGTCTGAGAAAGTTCGCCTTTAAAAGATAATGCATTAAATCAATACAAAGGCTTCTTCAATCTAGTGATGTTGCCTTCTTCAATCTGTCCATGAAGCAAGGACTTTGAAGTTTATGTTACCCGTAAGAATAAGATGTTACGAACGAAGATCATATAATTGGGGACACTACATACTTCATGCTTCCAATATATTGCTCTCTTTGCGTCAATGTTATAAAAGCTTTATTGTCAAAATTATGGTTCAAAAGAAATCAAAGGATCTTCGAAAACAAGCATAGATCGACAGGTGATTGTATTTGAAGATTTTTCTCCTTCTATCATTTATTCTAATTGCGGAGCTTTTCCTCCCATTTAATTTCCTATTTTGTTTCCATTTATGTTCTTAGCTCTTTCTTTTTATCATTCACCATTTCGAGAGTTTGTATCTTTGAACAATTTTTGTTCTTTTTCATTTATCAATGAAAAGTTTGTTTCTTGTTAAAAGAAATATATATATATATATATATATATATATATATATTGCTCACAAGGAGTTTCCACTACAAATATATAGCACCAACAATAGCTCCATCTGGATCTTTTCAGTTAACTCCATGGTATAGACTCTTAACATTTCTTGTTCAATGTCTAATGCTTGGCTCATAATTGTTTGGAAGTCCTAGAGCCCAAGAAGGAAAATATTCTCATACAGATTTTTTAAGATATAGCAGATAGCCTTTGGAAGAAAATTCCATTGTAGGCCTCGCAACCTTCAATTAGCGTCCTTTGTATGAAGGCAAATGAAGATTAAGATCATATTTCCTTCATCCAGTCATATGCTTGTTGGCAGCTCTAGTTGCAATTTTTTAACATGCAATGGTGTTCAATAAAGAATCCAGGAACAAAATTCTCAGCTACTATGTGGTGTCAAGCTCAAGTCCGGACCCAAGATGATTTAGGAAAATGTGAAATTTAGTCGGAAAGAAACTCAAGGATCTTTTTTAACACGTTACTTGAGTGGTGTGATAGAGATGTAGCTAAAGCATCTTGGCAGTGGTCTGGTCACTATCTTTCGTTTTTGCTAACTGTTCCTTAAATGGCATTTGTCAATAGGGGGCTTTTTTGCAACTCTTATGAATCTTTAGATAGAAGGGATCCATTTTTACTCCTCCCTTGTAACTTGAACATATTTGTAACGTTTCACAATCATCAAAGTAAAGTTTACTTCTGGTTTGGAAAAAAGGAAAGAAAGAGAGAAAAAAGGTGAAAAGGAATCAGCCTTACGAAAGAAGCTGATATGCAGCTCTGGGACTAAAAGCAATTGCAGTAACAGCACCAGTATGTCCTCTTAAGACCGAAATTGGCAGCCCATCAGGCAAACGCCACTGTAATATACCACAAAGAAAAGCAAGTAAAGTTTTGATTTTTCCACAATATAAAAGTAAACAGAAATGAACCTGTCAGCAAAGTGAACTTACAACACGGATTACAAAATCATTTGAAGCAGATGCCACCACAGCATTGTTAGAACTTACAGCCAGGTCGGTAATATCACCCTTTTGAAGCACAAAATAGAACAACATATTAGCACACTCCCCTTCCAAAATATGTCGAGTATTTTTGTCCAAATAATTAATCTCACCTCATGTCCTCGGCAGCTTGCCAAGCAATATGCAGTTTCCATTGACCAAATCTTCACAAGGCGATCATCTGAACCAGTTATAACATATCTTCCCATGCGATCAAAGATTGCTGTCAAAAGTGAAATGAAGAGTGAAAGCAAGACCTACCATTAGTTTTAAAAGAAACTATTTGAAACCGTGGGTTGGGATTAGAGGCAATATTTTAGTCTCGCCAATATCATACATCCTTGGAAAGGATGGGGTCGGAATTGTGGTGGCAGTATAAAACTCTAAATTTCGTGGCTCACAAATTTTATTGGCTAATGTGGAGAATTTTGTTCGAAGGTGTGCATTCCATGGGAGTTACCCTTGTGGGCATTCCATATTTCCCACGGGAGTTACCCTTGTGTGCATTCCATATATTTCTTATACCAGGGAGGACTTGTCAATGAATTTCCTTTTGAAGTTGCCAAGGCAAGCAAGTTTTGACCCTGCTTTGTCATTGGTACATTTTGTTGTATTGTTTCAAAACACCAAATGCCGTGAATATTGCAAATATATTTTTTTTTTTGAACTTCATGGAATCCCACTCGAGGTACATTGTCTCATATAGGGATGTTTGATTCAGGCATCAAAAAATTTCATGCACCTTTAAAACTTATTACTACAAGTAATCCTTAATCTAATGGACAAATGTAAGTGGCTAATAGAACCCTTTCCAACTTTATTAGAACTCTTTTTGGTAACAAACATAGAAAATGAGACTATAGTTTGGTTCAAGCCAGGTTTGCTAATAAAATAACTAATAGGTCTACTAGAAAGCCACCGTTGAATAATGTACAATGAAATTTCCTTGGCTAACAGTTGACCTGGTCAAACTCCCTCAAACAGTTGAACCTAGTATGGGAGTAGTGGATGTGACAAAAAAGGTCAACTATTCATAGATACTTTTTTTTTATATTTGTGAGTGTCCAAGCCAGCTTACATGCACCTCAACTAATCTCACGGGGCAGCCACCTGACCCAACATTTGGTATCATGAAACACATGGGAATTAATTCCTAATATAGATGGCCATCATGGGGTTTGAACACATCCCTCTCAATTAACCCTAGTCCCTTTGGACCAATGAGGCACCCATGATGGTTTCAACTATTAATAGATACTAAACATCTTGAGAAGGCTATTTAAAATGTGACCTCGTGCTTTGTTTATTTTTTTTATTATACTATTATAAGAAACATATTTCTATTTTTACTTTGATAGGAAAAAAAATATCATTGATGGTATGAAATATAAAAACAAAAAATAGAGAGAGAGGACCAATTAGCCAAAAGATCATTTAGATTGTAGTTAGTAAAAGGAAGGTAACATTTACACCAAGATATTTCAAGAAACAAAAAACAAAATCTGTGAAACTATCAAAAGAGAGGGATTTGTTGTTGAAGGTTCGGTTATTTCTTTCAAGCAATAATCACCAATATAATGCTTCGGCAATATGGCCAAAGATGCCGTTTTCCTTCTTAAACGGGTGACCAGCCAAAACCAAGTTGAGGAGAGCCTTTATGCACTTTGGGAGAGCCACAGTCCAACTAAAAGTAGCTAAAAGCAAAGATCAGAATCCATTAGCAAATGGACAAATGTGGAAAAGATGGCTTGAACACATAATGCACTGACTAAGGGATAGAGAAAAGTATGGGAGCTCTTTTTGGATCACAGTATGTGTATTGATGCTTCATGACTAAGGTCTTAAAGGAAAATTTGACCACCACTGGGCCCTTACCATGCCATATATGGTCGTAGAGAAGATGTCAGGGTGGTCTTGGTTGCTAATAAGTTAATAAAAAGAAAAGCGAACCCAGATCGTGTTTGTTGGGTCCAAAGGTCATAGCCAACAATCTGTTCTTTCTGATGGTTTTACTGTGGAGAGCATGTTGGTTAGTGGGGACCATGCTTCTATTTCTTCTTCCTTGAACAGCCTTCTAAAGCAAAGATCTCAACTTAGGGAGCAGGTCCAAGTATCCTTTTTAGAGGATGATTTCCAGTAGGATAGGGCGAACAACCTTGGGAGCCTTGTTAATAGTGTTGTCGGTTGTGCTTACTACAGCCCATCGGTCATGTCAGAAACTAAGAGTGGAGTCGTGACAAACCTTGCCAGTAGCTCTTTCTCTAACAGGATATACTTCCATGGGGCTTTCTCCATTAGCATCCAAGAGACACACACCTTCAATGTAGCCATGAGAACCAATCCTGAACTTTTCATCTTTTAGATTTCTTAAAAAATTAAGGTTCCAAAAAAACAAGTTCATAGTCCATATTTGGGCTATGGTCTTGAAAGAGCCAATATATGTAGCATAAAGATCGGAGAAAAGCAATACTTCTCATAGCATGAGGAACACTAAAGCGCAACAGCACTCCAAGGCTTAAGCGCAAGGAGATGAAAAAAGAAAAAGGAAGGGCTCTTTCCACGAGGCACACAACAGAAATATGTAGATATCTTCTTATATATAAAATAATTAATGAAAAGGATTGAGAAATTAGAGAATTTTTTAAGAAGTTATTTAGAGAAGAGACGATTTTAAAGGATATTTATAATTTCTTCACAAAAAATTAGAAAATAAATAAGAACATTTTTAAAATCAAAATTGAGGCAGTAAGGCACGTGTGACTTTGCAGTGAGTCGTGCACCTTAGAGAGGGTGACTCACCTCAATTTGGGCTTTTTTGTGGACCTAGACATGCTTTTTAAACCACTAGCGAGGAGAGAAGCATGAGGGTACTTCCCAGCCAATTATCCTCGCAAAAGTTGGTATTGAGGCCAGTCCCAACTTTAAAGGAATCTTAGAAATGATGAGAGCTTTTGTAGTCCAGATATCCCTCCAATGGCCTTCAGAAATTTTAACACCATGAACATCGGGCCACCAATCACTAGGGGAAGAACCAAAATTAGCCACAGTAACTTTTCTCCAAAAGGAGATCTTCTCAAGGGCAAAACTGCAACTACATTTTGCATGGAAGACAAGGTTTCATTTGGAAAAGATCTCTAATCCCCAAACCACCAGAAAGGAGAGGGCAAGAGGTTTTTGAAACTCGTTCCTTCTCTATTACTGCATACCAACTGTTTCCATAGAGCTTTTCTTTCAACCTTTTCAAATTAGCATGCTATCGTCTTCTCTATTATCTAGGTCTTTAGTTATATTGGTCAAAGAGACTTTCCATTTTCCATTTGGCTAGGTCCCGAGAGGCTTATGAGTTCTATTACACCACATGGTAGTAACTTGAAAGAAACATAGGCCCAAATGAAGGTACCAATCTCCAAGATATTTGAGGTGGTTTGAGGTGGTTCTTAAACAGTATCATTTTTTTCTTTGTGAAAGAACCAATTTCATTGATAGCATGAAATTACAAATATCCCACAGAGGATTACATGAAGCACTTCCAATTGGCTATAAGGGAAGAGTAACTATAGTGATGGAAAAGAGGAGAGCCTTTGCACCGTGTAATAACTAGATAAACTATAGCATCAAAAAGCCTCTCATAAGGGAGAAATTTGGCATCGAAAGTTCTTTGATTTCTCTCTCTCCAAATGAGCCACAATAAAGCTCGAATGCAATTCATCCAGAGTAGCTTCCTTTCCTTTTTAAAAGGGTGGCCGGCAAGTGTTGATGCAATGAGGAGGGGAGGATCTGTTGGTAAGTTGAGGATGAAGTCCCAAGTCCCAGAAAACTGATGCATATGGACATGTGACAAAAAGATGCTGTTGGGTCTCCAAATTAGATTGGCAGATTGTGCACCATAGGGGGGATAAAGTCATATGTGGCAGCCTTCTTTGAAGTTTATCATTAGTGTTTATGACACGGTGACTGAGCTCCCAAAGAAAGAATTTCACCTTTTTGGGGCAGAAATCTTTCCATATGACGTCAGCAAGATGGGGTGCGGGGTCGGGGTTTTGGTGTGTTAAGTCCTTCATCAGGGAATTGGTGGAAACAATACCATTAGTTTCTAATTTCCGTACCATGAGGTCCGCTCTTGTGGACAAATGAACAGCAGAGAGCTGCTGGTTGAGAAACACCCAATCAGCAATTTCTTCATCCTTTAAGTGTCTTCTAAGACCCAAATTCCAGCAGACCCAAATCCTTAAACCATCCATTCGATTACTTGATCTCAAAGAGAGAAAGGTTCTCTATTAAATCATTGAAACGCCTAATGGAAGACCAAACAGGGTTTTCACCCCTGATTTTCATGATTCTCTGGTTGAAATATCTCTTTAGACCAAACTTCCGACAAGCCTCAAGCGTTTGGTTAATAATTAAAGAGACGAGCTGAAAAGTTGTAAGCCAAACTGATATATTCAAGTTGCTGGAAATTTTTTATTAATCTTCAATAGCTTTCAAACAATTAATTAACTAACTAACTATAAAGCCACTAACGGCTATTAAGACTTCCAATGGCTATAAAAGAAACAACTAGCTCAAACGGCTAGTTTACAAGTGAATTTTTTTAAAATAAAACCCCTACATGACAAACACCTCTGAAATCTTGTTCAAGTTTAGTCACCAATGCCAGATATTAAATATTTTATAGGTTCCTGATGGCATGTGGTCAAATAAGGTGAATTCTCGTGAGATTAATCAAGATGTGATTAAGCTATCTCATATATTCATATACAGGAGGAGAAAAATCAATTTGCAAACAAATTAAATTGTAGCTCAAATTCCTTATGATAAAAAGTTACCACAATAGACAGCATTCCGATGCCCCCGTAGCCTCTTTATGTTTTGCATTTTCTGCACCATGGTTGATGGCTTTGCAATTGCATAACATGCTGCACGCACAGAAGGGGCACGTTGATGTCGGGAGAAACCACCTCCAATTTCTCTCAAACTTAATCCACGCACTGAATCAGCTTTCATATGAGGCCAACGCATGTGTGTTGGGGGACCACTTGGTTTGTCAACTCTTTTATATTTATCATCTGGGAATAATCAAGAAATTTTCCATATAGAATAAATGAGCAAAAGTACCTCCACAAAACAAAATTTGATAAAATGGTAAGTTTATAAGTTCCAACTAAATGATTGGATAGTGACCAGAAACAGTATAAGAAGGACTTATTGTTATAATAACGTAAATGGACTTCATAAATTCCAGTAAACAGCATAACATAAAAACGATTTGACAAGAAAAAGGCGCAAGAAAGTATCACTTACAGCTCAGAAGTGAAAATGTGCCCGTTCCCAATAATGTAGGCACATCAGCTGCATTTGGGGCAATTCCACCATTGATACCTCTAGATGGAGGGGCCTTGTTAAGTATCAACTGCTTCAAAAGTTTTATCAAGTGGTCCTTATCGACATGTGGATACCTAAAAGGGTAACAACAAGAAAGTAATAATTATACCATGGAAGGCTTTGAAAAAATAACATAACAAGATAGATTTACTTCTGCATGCATTGAATCAGATTCAACATTGAACTATGGAAGAAGCAAATAATAACCCAAAGCCCGGTGTCTTATTCCCCTTTCTCTTTCAATAAGTAACAGGAATTTCGTTAGTAGTCTGTTATAAGGCAAAAATCCCACCATAACGCCACAAAAGAAAATATTCAAGAATAGGAAGCAAAAACAACCCAAGACATCAATTACAAAAGACCCCTCAATTATCTCTAATAAAAAATAATAAAATAATAAAAAGTAATCTTTGAAAAATGAGAGACAAAGGTTAAAAACAAAGACACATAATGCACTAAATTTCACATCTTCCGCAGGAAGAGACTTGCGTTTTTTAAATGAGGAACTCAACTTTTAGAAAGGACATTGAAATTACCTATAAGAGCCATGCAAGATTCAAATTTTGGAAATAACTTTTTTTTTAGGAGAAAACGAACTTTCATTGAGAATAATGAGACAAAACTTTGGGAAAGAATATTCACTAAACAAATTGGTAAGGCCATATAGACAGTGGGGCCCAAAGGGCAATACAAAGATAGAAGATTTACTACCAAAAACTCTTACTGTCGTGCTCCAACCAAAAGCTTAAAAGATATGCATACCTCTCAACTAAGTGTTGGTAACTTAATGGAAATGACAAGCCATCGTCATTGTCATGCCCACTGTGAATTCCATTTCTTGAATACCAAGCATGGTACCGTCGAGGTAAAAGCTGATGTTCAAAAAGTTCATCCCAGAGCAACCCACAAGTTCTACGACATGGCCCAGATGAAAGAAAGTGCATAATAAGAAAATAAACTTCTCTAAGGTCAATTTCTACATCAGGCTCCGACGCATGGTTAATCTCTGGTTCTTCAAATTGAGTTTGCTCATGCACTTTAACAGGGAAACTTGAATGTTTCAAGTTAATAGAAGGTGTATCACCACAAACAAACTTCCGAAGAGCCATATTAATCATAGAACCTACAAGTAGAAAATCAAATTTTCATCAACCATCATCTCAAAATCAGAAAAACGTGGCCAAACGAACATTGTGAAAAGTAAATGTTACTCAAACACAGTTATTACAGAAACAAAATTACATAAGCAAGAGAAATATTACAAGAAAAAAGGGATGGGATATCTTTTGATTAGCTTGATTGTCGGTTGAGGCTCCCTCCACCATCTGTAAAACAACCACTAAGTTATCTCTCCACATTAAAATTCCTCCTGAAGCCCCAACAACGTCTAAAGCAGACCAAGCTATATCTCTGGAAATAACAACCACATCCAAATTTCATTTACAAATAGCATCTTTAACCACTTACCTCTTGACCTGAACCCAACATTCCATGAAATAACTAACATAAAGAATCTGACAACCACTAAAAAGAACCCTCACCATACTCAAATCTACCCTTCTCCAATGGAACTCTTCAAATTTCTCAACTCCCTTTCACCAATTCACCTTTAACCTTCACATTACTGCTAGCTCTCCTTTTACTCCTCTGTTTAAAGGGGGCAGAAATTGTTCTTTTTAAGCCATTTCATCGTGGCTAGGTCAATCTAGTCAAAACCACCCTCCCCCCTCTTCACCGAAGACATGGACACTGAAGTTTGAAGGCAAAGAACCACTTTCCCGTGGACACACCTCTTCATCCGACCCGAGATGAAGACTATCAATGAACAATGTCCTATGGGATCACATAGAAAATCCAAGGAGTTGAAACCATTACACATAAAAATCAAAATTCATGTGTATCGGTGTCACCAGCAGAACTCAGGAAATATTTTTACCCATAAAAATGAGATGAAGTAAAAAAAACTCTACAATTAAAGCATCATAGAAAAGTAGACACAATAGTTGCATGCCTAAGAGCTTAAACCGTTTACTTTGATCCCATAGCAACCAAAACTTTACGGACAGCAGTGTAAATTGTAGGACGTTCTGGAAATGTTTACTTCCATATAAATGAAAATGAAGCAACAACATCTATGAATTAAGACAGCCTATTTAGTGATTTAACAGTAGTTACAACAAAATATTGATTCCTGAAAAGTGAAATTAAGTAATAACTTCTAGAAATATATACAGCACAAATATGACCATTGAGAATCTCCCTCTAACTCTCTCTTTGTACACTGTACATACATAAATAAATTAGTCTACAGTGGGAAACCAAAACACATTCTACCTAAAATTAGTCTACGGGTGTATATATAGTTGAAAACCATATCTAAGATAATAACACTTTTTGCCACAATAAAACTAAATGCGGGAAAGAAATGAAAAGGAAACAAGGACGAGTGAAAAGGAAAAGAGACTCAAAGACCACAATTAAGTTTTACTTTTTAAGTGTAGTCGGCTTACATGTAAACCTTTATTAAGAATTTTAAGTAAAAACTTTCATTTGAAGTTCTCAAAGCAAATGAATGCACAAGGGAACTATTTTAAGTGCAGACCTGATTGATCCAGATCACTTCAGAAATATAATAGCTTTACAATGATATAGGGAATTGTGTAATAAAACATTATCGTTAAATCTTCTAAAAAATTTAATAAAAGACCACCCACTTCACAAAAAACAGAAACAAGAAGAAGATTAGCGTTTCGCACGTGTGAAAATAATAAAGAGATAGTGAAAGACTCAAGTATCACCTTCTTATTTTAAACAGTGGTGGAAAACAAAAACGTTTGCATCTAAATCAGGAAGGGTATTCTGGAGATGAGTTAATATAATTCTTTATCTCAACCAATCAATGCCGAAATTAAAAGATAAGATAGAAGTCCAGAGTGAATTTGGTGAATTGGTGTAGCCTTTTTATTCTTCTATTTTGTCTGTGGGGTAGGGATGGGGGGATGAGAAAGATATGAGAGATAACTGGCATTAATGCAGTTATGCAGTTATGCAACTATTGCATAATGTCGCTGAATATTTATAAATTTCACAAAGTATACAAGGAAACACCCAAGCCAAAGTGAAATAAATTATATTCTAACCCTAAGCCACAAGGAACCGCAGACCAGAGTAATGAATCGAAAAAAAGCCCAGACCTACTGAACTGAAGGTGTGACAGAATTCATCCAGATGGGGAGTCCCAGAAATTCAGAAATTCCTTTTTGCACCTATGAAATCCTGACCTCTCAAAATCCATTATGCATCCCTGTTCCATTCGAAAAACCCCAATTCAGTTCCATTGAAACTCTCACAAGACAATTAAACTTGAGAAGTAATATACACAATTTCATTCCATCATACCAAATTCAAGAACACACCCACGCAATGGACAAGCCCTACCCAATATCCACATCATTTACGAACACAAGAAGACTCCCATTCAATAAGTACCTTCAATGGAGTTAGCTGCACACACCAAATGAAACTTTCCCGGTGGCCAACTGCATCTTCAGCTTCAAAGATTGGAAGACTGTGCTGGATTATGGATCAAGAAACTCAACAAATTTTGCAGTTTAAGATATCGAAACAATTAAATAGAATGAAAACTATGAAGAGTGTGGAGCGAGAACGGAGATTATAGGTTTAGATTCTTGGAGGGAGCTCCGAAATTTTCATTGGGATTTTTTTTTTCTCCTTCTCTTTTTTCTTTTTCTTTTTCCTTTCAGTCTACAGGAAGAAGAGCAATACAAAAACAGCGAGACGAATAAAAAGGAAAGCGGAAGCGAAGCGAATAGAGAGAAATCGAACGAACGAAGCGTTTTGGATTTTAAAACCTCCTCCTCGACAAAATTAATTAAAAATAAAATAATAACCCACGCGCGATTCGGCGTCGTTTTAGCCTAGGGTGTCTAGGAACGACGCCGTTTTACGGAGTCCAAGGGTGATCCGCATGATAAATTACAAATATAAAATATAAAAATATATATATCGAAATCTTTTAGTTGCAAAAATACCCGCGAAATTTTAAATAACCTAATTTGCTCCACCATCGGTTATATGTTTATGATGTCCCTAATGTAATTAGGGTTTATGTAGGGAGGCTTTGCCTTGAGGAAGTGGTGCCGGTAATTATATCTTTTAATTTTAGAATGTTCAAAGATTCAAATAAGAGAGCGGGATTCGAACTTATGATGTTTGATACTGTTATATTGATGAAGTACTTAGTTGAGTTACATTCGAGTAAGTCGATTTGTTAACAAATAGTCGATAGGTAACTAAGATCACTAAGTGAGTTACATCTCTGGTTCTATTATAGAAATTCTAAGAAATATGACAATTTGATTGTTATATATTTGTTCCCGCAAAAACAAGCTAAATAGTTGTATATAGAGAAATATGTAAAAAAAAAAAGTTAAATACGTCTTATAATCATTTTCTATGATGTTCATTCGAGTGAGATGATAATTAAATTACGCTGAGGACAATGGATGACCAAGTGAGTTAAGCTAATGCAGCCATTGACTAATTTCACGAGGCAATTTCAACATCTTATGATATACCATTGTTAATAAATAATCATATTTTATCCTATGTAGGGGGTGACCACCATTAGATTTGAATCCTAAACTTCTGAAGTCCCTCTTTTCCTCGTCTAAATTCTAATGGGTCGACATCTGGTAATATATAAATAGTCACTTTCAATATTGTATGATAGCATTTTGAACAATATTATAAAAATATAAATATAAAAAAAAGTAGAGAAAAAAGTCTCATAGATATTTGTTTTGTTTGTGATGGGTATCCCCAATTGCTACGGGTCATTGACACCATTGAAAGTTGCTACATTAATGGTCAATACTTAAAATAAATATTATTTGTAAAACTTCAAAAACTAAAAACACAATTGGTATATTTTGTGTGTATGCATACACTTTGTTGCCAATACGAACATATTCCAAAAGATTATAGATATTGTTCATTCCTGATAAGTCGGATGTCCAACCATTACGTTTATTGTACTAAAATAAATATTCATCATAATTAAATTTCGACAATAAATCAAATACGAATAAATTTTTTAAATTGTTCTACTTTTCATCTAGAGCTGATCGCACGACATTTTTTTGCTATTTTGAAATATCTATTTATCCGTTTAACATTTTTCTATTTTGAAAACAAAAGTAGATAAAATAAATACAGTAAAAAATTTGTACGCTCCAAAATCAACATACTTACCACTACACATAAAAGAATAAAGTACCAAACACATTCAATAATTAAAAAGCTAATTTGAAACACATTCAATAATTCATTATCTATTACCATTATTATTTTAAATCAATAAAATATATCGTGTTATTAGGCTGACATAGTATAATGTAGAACAATGACATGAAAATATGTTAAATTATAATTGTATAACTAAGTTTTGTTGCATTACAACTCTCAATTTCACGATTGAATACACGTGTCTTAATCCACTGAATTGGTTGTTATTCCTAAACTCTAAAAAGTATATGATAAACTTAAAAAATTTCAATTTAACCAAAGAATATCATGTTGTTAGAAAAAATCCGTAAAGTCAAAGCGAGCAGAAGCGATAATTGACATAGATGGTGTGAGTTCTAATCCCCTCCCAATATGTTGTATTAAAAAAATTGGAAAAAATCCAACAAAATATAAAGTGGGACTTCTTGATGAACCAATAAATGACGGACACGTCAACAAACCAGCAAAGTGTCGAGGAAAAAACAAACCAGCAAAGAATGACGTGGCGCATTATTTTTTAGATTTTATTTTGATTTTTGCAAAGACACGTGGCACATTATTACCCCATTTTGTTAGCTCTTCGTTCTTCCTCCGTGCAAATAAATCGCGTCTCCCCTTCATCTCAGCGGTTTGGCTTGGATTTCGATTCAAATCGTCTCGTCTGGTTCTGGGATCGCTTTTTATCTTCTCTCTCGATTAGGTAATTTTAGTCTCTTGATCGGGTGGTGATTGCAGTTGGTCGGATCTGCGAGTTACTTGAACAGCGATGGCGGAGGAAAAGTACAATCTGAAGAATCCCGCGGTGAAGAGGATCCTTCAGGAGGTCAAGGAGATGCAGTCCAATCCTTCTGATGATTTCATGAGTCTGCCTCTCGAGGTTCGTTGCCTTTTCATTTCTCTGTATTTCCCAATTGTCGCTTTGAAATTTACCTAGTGGTTTTTTTTTTGTTGTTCCTGTTTGATGATGATTTCGTTGGTCTTTGGTCGGTTTTACATTCCACGGTTTGTGTATCCTGTTGAATGAATTGATTCCTCGTGATTGGTCCGGACTATTGAATTGGCCTGATACCTGTGGGAATGGGGTCGAAACAATTATTAATTTGGTGTTCTTTGATTTTTCTTACCTGTTGGGATCTGCTATTTGCTTACGAATGTTCTAATATGCCTCAAAAGGAACATAAATTGAATTATCGACGAGTTTTTTTCTTAAAATTTTAATTGGGAATTCATTTCTGTTTCGTATCTTTGAGAATTTTTATATAGCTGACAATTCGGTGTAGCCCTTTGTCTATTCCCATATTCTCTAGTTAGGTTAAAAATTGCATTGTTATCTTGACGGGGTCTGAAATTGATTACTGATTCTACTAAATTTTTCGACAGCTGACAATTCCGTGCATTTCCTCTTGTACAGATTTTCGTGCATTTCATGTTGTTTTCATGTGCCTTGATTCTTATAATTGCACAACTCTATTGCATTTGGGAAAAGGAAAGTACCAGCTATGGGAAATGTTGCGGTGGTACACCAGTTTTGGTGCTAATCGCCTAATTTTAGTTATTAATATAATTTTAAGGCCTTTAAATGTTGATTTTTTCAGGAGAATATATTTGAATGGCAATTTGCCATCCGCGGACCCAGTGATAGTGAATTCGAAGGTGGGATTTATCATGGACGGATCCAGTTGCCAGCTGAATATCCATTCAAGCCACCTTCATTCATGTTGTTAACCGTAAGATAGCAGCACCTCTCCATACTTGTTTCCCTTTCTGTTGCGTGAACTCAGAATATAACATCAGAAATATGTAAAGATTTTGAACCTACATTTATTAGAGGGGTAGAGATGTCATGACCACTAAGCTATAAGCTATATTCTGGTTGACGACTTAATATTTTATTGATGCCCTGACTAATATCAGTTCCCTTCTTTCAGCCAAACGGGCGCTTTGAAACCCAAACAAAGATTTGCTTAAGCATATCAAATCATCATCCTGAGCATTGGCAACCATCGTGGAGCGGTGAGTTCTGTGAATTCTTTATTCAACTTGTCTTGATACGTTAGCTCATAGGATATCCCACTGTCTGGTTTCCACATTTTTCATCTTGTTGCTTCAGGTTCCACATGCTCTGATATTTTTTCTTCTTCTTCTTTTTCTTTCCTCTCCCCTTTATCGTTGTTTGCTGTTGGTTAGTTCGCACTGCCTTAGTTGCATTAATTGCTTTTATGCCCACAAACCCAAATGGAGCTCTCGGTTCCTTGGACTACAAGAAGGAAGAAAGACGGGTGTTGGCGATCAAATCTCGAGAAGCACCCCCCAAATTTGGCAGTCCTGAACGTCAAAAGCTAATTGACGAGGTACTCCTGAGTTCTGCTGATGTTTCATACGCTACTGAGTACCGAGTAGTATACTGAATCCCCAACATATAATATGATATTGTTCATCAATGAGCTTCTTTACACCGCAGATTCATGAATATATTCTGAGTAAGGCGCCACCCATCCCTCAACCGAGTCCTTCAGATGCTGATGTCCAGGTAACTTCTGAACCCGCTGAACTTGCAGCTGCAGGGGAAGAGCTGCAGAATCCTCCCGCAGGCGACAGGATCGTCGAGGAGGCAGTACCAGAGGAGGTAACCACAAATGCTAATCCCCAGCCAGAAGTGGTGAGAGTAGCAAGAGAGGTGCCATCTAGTCGCGCTGCCACTGCTCAGGTGCAGATGAGGGCGGAGACGAGGGTTCCTAAACCAGCCGACGACCGATTGTTCACATGGGCTGCTGTTGGTCTCACTCTTGCAATTGTGGTTCTTTTGCTGAAAAAGTTCATGAAAGCAAGCGCTCATGGGTCAGTGTTCATGGACGAATCTTAGATTACAGAAATACGTTTGTGGTTGATAGCCTGCTTTGTGAGGCATAACAGTCGTATATGTATTATTAGTTTTAGCGTAAATTTAAATGACTTATCATCATTCGACAGGGAAAAAGCAATCCTTTGTTTGTGATGCTGCCTTCTCCATTATTTGTAGTTAAAAAATAACACATAAGCAAAATCTGCTTGGCTTAAAGAGTGAACCTATAAATACAAACCTTTTTATCTCTGAGTTTTTAATTGTATGGACTCAACTGATTGACGTATATATTATTTGATGTTCGAATAATCTCTATGTTGTTCAACTAAAAATATCTTTAAAAAATCTTCTAAAAATTGAAATACTCTAGCTTAAGTGGAAAAAGAACACCAATTAAGTATTTAATAACAATAATAAAAAGTACTGTGATTTTGAAGTAATTTATAATTTTTAGTTCTTAGATTTACTTATCAATAATATTTTAAGACTACCATTTTGGTTGGATTGAGTATAATATGTTATTGTCTAAATAATTTATTCTCATTTTCACCATGTTGGGAATTTTGTCTATATTTGGGATTTTTTTCCCCACGAGGAACGTATTTTAGATACATTCCATTTTCTTTTTGAATGATTTCCTCATTTTTTAATGTTGGGGAATTATGGGAGATTCTGCATATTATTGATAAGAAACTTTATTTTGCTTTGTCCAAATCCATTTTTTCTGGAAAAGTGGTCTATGGGAAGGGTAAATAGAGGTCAATTAGAATTGAAGAAGTTACTTAAAAGAATTGTACTAGAAATTTGATACAATTTAGTTAAAATGTTAATTTTCAAACACAATACAATTTAGTTCAATACAATATATTGAAATTTATGTTGTGCGCGAGTAAAAAAAATATCAATATTGACTGAGAAAATGATGAATAAAGATAATTGAACCTAAAACATATCATTTACGCACTATTTGATATGAGACCCCGTTTACTTATTTGCAATCTCTAATGGTGTTTACCAAATTGTTCGAATGAAATCAAATAACGGGATCCGCCTCAAACTTTGTAATCTCATTCGCATTCCTGACTCTGTGCGCCCACATATTTATCATAATTAATTTATAACCTTTACCTTTTCTTTCTCATCTATTAAATATGAGAAAGGGATATGCTAGTAATTGTTATACATCGATTCTAATTTCAGACAATTTTAGTAAACAAGGAATTTTGATTACGATTCCAGAAAATTTATGGTAAATAACATCCCCATTCCGATTGATTTTTATTGCATGAAGATCAGTGTGACTCTTGCCACACAGGCTCCGATGCTTAAATCAGAATTAGAGTAGTTGAGTATAAAATGTAGAGTCTTGTGAGCATACCTTTAGGGTTTGGGTTTGGCTTACTTCCTTATTTATAGAAGTTTTAATCCTCAGTATCCCAAGAATTCGATGATACAACTATGAAATAAATAGAGAATTTCACATCCATAACAACATAAAATGAATAATATCCTCGTTCCGATTGATTTTTATTGCGATTCATTCCTATTACGTTGGTAGGTAAGTAAACGGGGCCTCAAGTGTGTAATAAATTTCTATGCCAATGTGTTATTTGATTCACACGCAAAGAAAGCTTGCGCTCTAGATGAATTGAGTGACACATAAAAAGAGTCCTTATTCTTGTCGTTATTATTCTGTTTACCGTTAGCCTTCAGGTCCATTCTTTTTTCATTTTGCATTTTTGTGTACTGTTTTAATTTTAATTTTAATTTTTTTTTAACCAAAACGTCATTTATAAATAACAAAAATTGTTATTTTTATTCACTTTTCTTCGTCCTTATTTTCCCATTATGATTCTGTAATTTGTTTTTTAATTTTTGAGAAGTAATTTTATCGAGCAATAGTATAATTTGTTTTTTAATGTTTAAAATATTAGTGTAATTTGAAAATTATATTACTCTATTATTTTTATTATATGGATTGCTTCTTAAACTTAGCCATTCAAAGTTATTATAAAATATTAAAAACTCTTCCAAGATTGTTTTAATCAATTTAATGGGTAATTTTATTAATTACTATATATTTAATCCATAAAAATTGATTCAATACTAAATTTATTCAAACGTTTTAGTTATGATATGTAACTAAACTATAAAATTATAATTTCGAAGTACAAAGATAAGTCATAGATGAAAATAAACTATGAAAAAAGAGAGAGAATAACTTAATAACAGTCTAATTAAACATGTTTCCACTAAATATAATTTTTCAAAATTCTCAAATAAACAGAAGATCATTTGCAAGAACACTTCCAAACAGCTCTAAATTATCCCATTACATTACAGCCCATAAAAGGCTCCCATTATTTGACAAACAATTAAACAACACAGAAACTAAACCCATCAACATATACATTAGCTTCCATTTCACAAAACACAATCAGTATCTTACAATCAGAAAATTTTAATGAGAAAATGTAGATTTAGGAATTGGGAGTGTTATGGGGCTGATGAGGTGATCATTAGGTCTCATGATCTGCCTTCTTCACTACAGTTACTGGACAGGATCCATTGTTCACCACATAGTTGCTGACACTCCCCAATATGGCCCTGCAAAAGTTGCATACACAAATCTCATCAATTTATTTTCTTTGATAAGAAACGAGAAATGTATTCTGTCACAAAAGAAGCCGTAGACATCCTACGGGTCAAACCCCGTCTAAGGAACTCCGTAAGCAAAGCCTTCTAATCATTGCTTATCAACCGATGACTATAATTACAAAAGAATTTATTGTGGTTAGAACACCACTGAGAGGTAGTAAGTTGAACACTATTACAAAAAGAATCCACTGAAATTCACTTGTTCTAAAAAATTCTTTGGTTTCTCTGTGTCTCTCGATGAGTTTCTATCAACCCAATCGTCCACCGTACACCAAACTCTCTCATCAAAATTCAAACAGCAAACTTGATTGATTTGAAAACAAGGTTAGAAACTGCATTCGATTGAAATCCAGATTGACTTATTACGGATCTCATATCTGAAAGATCAAGGGATTGGCCCTAACAAGATTTATAAAGATACGTAGGCTATTTCTCTCATTGTCAATTAATCTTGTTAGGATGGTATCAAAGCATTCGAAAATGGTCGCTAAAGTTTTAACTTGTAGCTTTTAAAGTATCTACGGAACTTGTAGCTTTTAAAGTATTTGGGGAACTATTATGAGAAACAACTTCCTATTTTATTTTCCAATCCGTTTCTGAGAAACTTTTGAGTAAGGATCAGAATCTGGTTAAAAAGTTATCCGAACATAGTTTTACTTGTTCCGAATCTATGAACAGTCAATTAAAAGCCGACCACTCTACTATTCGGAATCATTATCAACATTCAATCTATCTCATTATATGCTCAAGGAAACAGAAAACTTTTTTTCATAACAATCCCAAACATCTGTCGCCTAGAATTCTAGCAACCAGAATTTCACTTCTATTCATAATCATATCTTCCTCCCCAAAATGAACAAAGCAAGATGACAAATTCAGTCCATGATAAAAGCAAGTATAATAAGATAAGATCCAGGGACTGCTTAATATGTTCTCTACAAAACAGTTCTTGAAAATTGTTCTATGTAACAACTCATTTGGTTTCTTCTAAAACGCAATATTTCTGTACTACACTCGTCATCATTTTCGAAGAAAGAACAGGTATCATGGTTGCAAAAACAAATTCATCCCCAGCAATATATATTATCCAAACTACAAAAAGATAATTCGGTCTCACCTCTTAATCTTGCCAAGGCCTCTGTTTCCAATGACAAGGCAGGTAAGAGGGACGTGATCAATTGCCTCACATAACTTCTCACGAGCATCTCCCCAATAAATCTTAAGCAACACAGAGATCTGCTCCAGTTACAGAATTTTCCAATGTCAGTGCCATGAATTCCATTATCATCGCAAAAAAATGCTAAAAAAAATCACACAGACAGAAAGATCACCTCCTTCTGCGCAGTTGCAGTCGTCACAATGTCCATAGTTTGAGCATCAGGCTTAAGTCCGTACTTCTTCGTGGTGAGAGGATCGGAGAACTCAGACAGAGGAATAAGCGCTAAGAAACGCAAAATATAGAACGGAAATTAGATCATCATAATGGAAACGAAATAAAACGATCGAAATCGAACTAGTGCAAGCGTTATCTCCGGTGATCGGAGGAAGAAAACGATGAGAGATGAAGAATATTACGAGATCCGGTGGTTTGCCAGAGCTGCATCTCGCCGTCTTCATAATCGCTGTCGGGACGAACGGTGACAAGAACAAGATAATCTCCCTTCCGGATTATGTTGTCGATGGCCCATTTCAGCGCTTTTCTGCTGCACTCCGAGAAATCCACCGCCACTCCAACTCTCCGTTCGGCGTCCATTTCTCTCTCTCTCTCTCTAGAGCTCTGAATTCTGATAGCTTTTTATCAGATGAATTTGAAGATGGGCGCAACTTCAGGGGCGGATGGATGCCGTGTTCAGAGAGATGTAATCGTCTACGGACGGCTGTACGGAGTGTTGTGGTGTAAATGCGGGACAGCCGGTGGATGAAGGGGGGAGTGAAGTGTGATCGTGATGATCGGGATCTGACGGTGAGTGATTTGTTTGAGATATATATCCTGTGGTATATGGATGCTCTCTCCCTTAATGATAGACAAGAGGCAATGATTTCTGGTTATGTGGTTGCCAATCAGTGGACTTTTATTATATATCGCTCTTTCCTATTTTTTCTTATTTTAATTTCTAAACTTACTCATGATAGAATAGAACATGTTTTGAATTAAAATACTATTTTTATTCTGTCTACTAGACTTTAATTTATTTTAACTTTCCTTTCAATTTTTATTCACTTTAAGTTATTGTATTGTTACAAATTTATTTTGACAATGGTACTAGAAGAAAATATTTTTGTCCCTTTTTGTAACATTTTAATACAAACTCTTTAATAAAAGTTTATTACGAATCTCATCTAAAATATAGTAGACTTAACAAAGTTTATAAATACAGGACTATTCTTCTGAATGTTAATTCAAAATGCTATCAAAACCCAACAAATTCAAGGAAGTATCTGATCCAAAAAAGAATCCGACCAAGATCGATAAGGAGGGAGGTTATGGACAAGGATGAAGTTCTTCTGAAGAAGGAGGGAGAAAGACTAATTATCATCAAAATAATACATTTCGCAAAATCGTCATAGAAATATAATCAGAAACTTAATCACCATATCATCTTAATATTAATCAAATTTTAGAGACCATTTAGAATATTTTTCGAAACCACAATTAAAGGTATCCATTATAAAATTTAAGGAAACCAAATAGATAAGTACTCCAAAATTACATAAAAAAAATATGTCAAAGTGTATTTTACAATTTATCCTTCTAATAATTAATAATATTTTTTGTTTTGACCAATTTTTTAATAATTATTATTGGTTCATGGGTGCCGTTTATCCAATTCCTGTGCATCTTGCCTGCGCTTAACACGTCACACTCGAGGCGTATTCAACTAAATACTTTTGACATTTATTGTGCTGTGTTTGTCATACATCTTTATTTTATTCCATAAATGTTTAATTTTATTTATTTTAGTTTTGAATTTTGAAAATTTGTCAATCATAATATTTCAAAATTTCAAAAGCAACTATTTTAATTATTGTTATATTCTTTGCCATCTAAAATTTATTTACTCAAATCTTTGTTTTCAACTTTTAACTCGCGAAATCAACTCGATGACAATAGGGTTTATGGTTGTGATGCTCCTCTTATTATATGTATTTTACAGAATATAACTAGTTTATTATTGTTTTGTTGGTAACTAATTACCTTCTAGTTATTTTCTATTTTAATTAGCCATTTCGTATTAATTGTATTGTATTGTACAATTTTAATTATCCATAATAAGATTTTAATTCACAAATTTGTGAATTATTTCATGGTATCGGAGTAGACTTACGTCGTATATTTAGAGTGAAAAAAGCACAATTATTGTATTGATAATTTTGTCTCTCTTCTTAACTATGAAAAAAACCAACAACCAAATTTGTACTTGAAAAATATATTGAAATCTAAAACCTTCATAAAACAATAGCCAAGTGCTAATACGAACATAGTTCAACAACAAACGTTTATTTATTTCTTTAGAGTTTGAAGGGCAAATTCTCACACCTCATAACCAACATGAACATAGTTCAACTGATTAGAACATATATCTTCAATCAAAATGTCTTAGATTCAAGTCCTCACCCTCGCACGTTGTTATACTAAAAAAAATCTTGACACCTAGCAAAAATTTTTGGTCTCATTTACTATTCTTTTTTCTAAAATATAAATAAAATTATTATTTCATTATATTGACTTATAAAATGAATATCAAACATAAATATAAAATAAAAGTGTGAATATTCAATTTTAAAAAGTTAATTTTCATATAAAACTTACTCTTTCATTTAATATTTAGAGAACAAGAAACTATAAACAAAGGACTAAACATAATTTTGTTTTTCTAAATAAAAAAGATAGAACAAGAAATAAGAACATGAAAGGCATTCTGTTTTTATTTATTAAAAAAAAAAGAGAATAACGAAAAATAATTTCGAACATGCATTTATTTATTTGTTTTTTTTTCTGACATGAGGCATTGAGAAATTTCTCTAGTACAAACAACAATCATAAAAGTGTCGGGGAGAATGGGAATTGTATTAAGAAAAAAAAAATCAGCGGTCCAAAAATCAAGCTGGGCACACAAAACGTGAACCAAAAAGGAAAGAAAAAAAAGAAATGAAAAATTAAAAGGTTTTTTTTTTTTTTAAGAAAGAGTAAAAGAATTAATAAATATGTTTAAAAAAAAGGGAAAATTGACAAAATAAACGTTCTGTAGGTACCTTTTAAGTTTTCTAATCGTCCTCTTCAAAACACAAGTATGATATTTCATGCCCCTCTTTACTTTTTTTTTTCTCCTTCAGACTCCATCTCTCTTCCCCCTCTCCTCCTCTCTCCTCCATTTTTTAGATTTGCTTGATCTTCTCCATGATTTCTACACAACACACACCAGTTTTTGGCGTCTCCGTTAGGAATTCAACGAGTGGAGGTCCTGTTCGGTTGCCGTCCGTTGCTTCCATCTCGAGCTCTTGCGCCTCCTTGGTGGCCTCCCCGGCGACACTAGTGGCCTCTTCGGCGACATTGTTGAATGATGACAACATTGCCGGCGGTGAGAAAGAGGGAGAGAATAATTTGCATATGAAATAAGATAAAAATTTCCTTATTATTTTTCTCAACTCTTTCACCCTCACTTCTAAAATCAAATTTTCAAGATTTCAAAAACTTTCCTTCTATATCTCTTGCACGTCCCGGACTATCTTCTTCTCCATGAAACCAAATGCGTCGAGGGGAGAGGAGAGAGGAGAGAGAGGGACAAAGCGAGAACGAGAAGGACAGAGCGACGTCATCGATAGAGTGAGATCGAAAAGGACAGAGCGAGACCGAGAAAGACGGGATCGAGAAGGAGAGAGCGAGATCGAGAGAGAGGTGAAGAAGTGGTGATAATAACGAAAAAAAATGGGATGGTTAGGAAAAAAGGGATTGTTTTTTTTTTCTTTACTCCACCCAATTGAGTTAAATTAAATTTCAAATTTAGGATTAAAGGAGCAGAGTAAGAGATTAAGGAAAAAACAAGATTTTTTTTATACTCCCAGGAGGACTACCTAATTAATTATAAATTTGAATTCTAATCCTAATCAAAATTAGGGGAGATATTAAAGAGAGATTTATATTAATTTTTCAAATCATTCCTTCAAATAATTAAAGAAGAAAAAAACAATTAAGAAAACAAATCTAAATTAAATTTCAAATTTGAATATAGTAAAATTAATCAATTATAATTTTAAATTTTAGTTAAAAAAATCTTCCATGCTTAGTATTTTAAATTTGAGATTTCGTTTCTCTCGATTCCAATTTTTAAAATCGTTTCTCGCTCAATCTCGCTCACTCATCTCTCGTTTTCTCTCTCTCGCTCAATTGTCTCTCTCTTTCAATTATCTCTCTCTCAACTTTCTCTCTCTATCTCCTTCCCCATCCCATCGTAACTTTCTTCCTCTCCTGAGCCTCTTTCCTTGACGAACGACCTCCCTCGTCGGGTTTGATGCATTCGTTGCTGGCAATTGTTGAAGGTCACGGGAATTATGGAGGCTGCTATTTAAAAAATGGTGAGAGATTTAGGTTTTTTTTTATGGTAGAGTAAACAAGAAAAAACTCATGCTTGCGGAAGACATGGAAAAGAGAAAGAGGGAAGAAATAAAGAAAAAGAGAAATAAGGGAGGAAAACCTAAAAGGGAGGAAAACTAAAAAAGGAGGAAAAAGAGGGACATGGGGTCATTTGGCAAAGTATTGTGTTTTGAGAGGAGCGATTAAAAAATTTAAGAGGAACTCAAAAAAACTTATTTTGTCCATTTTCACATCGAAAAAAAAGATTAATAAATAAGAATGTTCTTGAGGTAGAGCCATGAAACTCCATACTCATCTGTAACGGCGCTGAAGGAGAGAAAGTGCAGAGAAGAAGGCCGCCACGAAGATCACAACCAACGCCCAAACTGCGACGACGCCGATGGCCACCGGATTTCTTCTCAGCCTCCGCCACCATACTATGAATCGGTCCGGCGGCTCGTTTAATTTCTGAACAACGCCGGCGAAGTACGTTCCCGACAAGTTGGCCTTCTGCTGCCTCATCCATTTCAGATTCGCGATAATCTGCGTCTCATCCTTCTCGAGATTGATCAGGATTTTTCGTCCGCAGAGCAGCTTCATGTCCTCGTCCGACTGGAGAAGGTGACTCATGAAATCGACATACGATTTCACTTGCTGAGCGCTTCCGATTTGACAGATCTCGTACGCGATCAGATTCTTAAGAATCGTTTCTGTGTGCTTGGACACTTCGAGAGTGGGAATTTCGAGGCCGCCGTTCTGAAATTTGATGTCCAGTACGCTCTTCGGAGTTACGGCGTTCTTGAATTTGATTCCCGCAGATTTAAGCTTCGACGCACGAGGTAATTCTGCCGTCTTCGATTTGTTGTTTTTCGTTTCGATTCGAGGATATGTGGAGAGGAAACAAGAGTGCACGATATCAAGCAGATGATCTGCATCTTGCTGGAAATTGTCGTAAACAGATTGCCGTTCTCCGGCAACTATAGTTCTGAAGAATCGGAAGGCGAGGTCATTGAGAGGCATATTTTCCTCCCTTGAATCTTGCACTTTTTCATAAACCTCTCTCAGAAGGAAATACGGAATCTGATTTTCAAGCAGTATCAAATCGGACTTCAAATCGAGGAGCAAACCAGGAGTAGTGAAAACAGGATCGTTCCGGCGTTTGAGCCTCTTTATCGAGAATCGCAAAAGCAGCTCGAGAACGAAGCAGCAATCGAGCACCATCATCCGCGCGAACTTTTGGCTGTCGAGATCATGGAACTCTACCTCATAGCATTTTCTCACTCGGCTCTCTGATTTTGCAACGAATTCGAGAAGATCATCTAAACCGACAGACGGATTGTGCTTGAGGAAAGCGCACAAGTAGTTCCACTTCAGATCTTCCATGGATTCCAGATGTGGAGCGCCGTGGTGGAAAGGGCCGATCGAAACTTTGGCCGGGACGAAGACTTCTCTGTTGTCGATACTGATTTCGTCTGGAACTTTGAAGATGATAATTGATGAGCAGAAGGCTTCCATTTTTGCTTCCATGGAGCATAGGAGGGATTCTTCGTCGGATCTTTCACGTGAGATTGCCGGAATATCAATCGCATGAGAAAGTGCTCTTGATGGATTCATTTTTCCGGCCAGAGATTATCCACAAGCAGCCTTATTTACAGACGGCCAAGGTAAATGGTAATTATATAATAAAGATTATCTAAAAATTGCATCACAAAAATTAGGAAGCTAGACATGAAAACAACAATAGTTCTCTAGCTTATTATTACTATCGATGCTGTAATTGGAAGCTGTCCATGACTAAAATGGGAGGATTCATGTTTTAGTTCTCTAGCTTAAATTTAGTTACGAAATTTGTGTCACACATTTGTTGAAATTTTTAATATTTTTTTTTCTATAGTAAGAAAACATAGGTAAATTCATTATTCATTAATCACGTTAGTCCTAAAAGAATATAATCTTTTGGAATTTATACATAGCTAGTGTAGTTGTAAATAATATTCGTGAAATGTAAAAGATTCAAAATAATTATAAAGCTAGCCTACACCCTTCCATTTCACGTTTCTATTTTTCAAAAAATTGACATTTTTTTTTATCTTTATAATAGGGACAAAAAAAAAAAAAAATCATATTTTAAGAAATAAAATATAACCGCAGTTATATATCGTTTAATAATAAATTTCAAAACTTAGTAAAAAAAAAAAATTCAAAACAAATATAATTTAATAAAAAAGTTATATTAAAATGAATATGCAACTAAAAGACATTAGATCTCTCAGTCTTTTCGATTACAATTGAAGTTTAAATATCGATGAAGATGTCGAGGTCTCAATTCAAAAAAATCGATAAAATGTCAATGTCGGTTGATAGCTTTTAGAAAATTATAAAAATAAAAATTTGTTAAAATATTTAAACTAACGAGTAAGCATTTCATCATTTTCAAAATAAGTTAAAATGATTAATATTGATATTATGTCTATATCAGTGATATTTTGTTGATATATATATATATTATGTTTTGTCGATTTTTTTGCAATATTGTACAAATGTCGATTTATTTCACATGTTTATGTCGAACTCATAAACACATGAAAACATCGATAAAAAAAAATATCTACATGTAGACGGAAATTTAATACCCGATTACAATAAATTAATATAAAGTATAAATAAGTCATTTACAAGTAACAATTTTTAAACAACGTGGTTGCATGAAAAGTTGTCCATATTACTATATATTTATAGTCATATTAATAACGTTAAAAGAATAAAAGGGAAAACCCACTTTTAGATCCGTGATATTTTGCTCATTTTCTAGAGGTTAGAAGCTCAATTCCTCATTAGTCATTAGTCATCCATACGTGATAAAATAATATTTCTACTAGTCAAACGATCATATATTAATAAGATGAGCTAACGTGACCTCTTACCTCCACCTCCTCTAAGATATCGTAAGATTAAATTCCCACCCTATATTTATGATGTGATATTTTTTAGAAAATGATGGGCTAAATAATTCAAAATGCTCGGAAAAATTTAAGGTTAGTTTCAATTATACTATCATTTAAAAAATTTCACAACTATGCTGAACTTTTGAAACTGATTCATATATGTTTGTAATAGAAATTGACGTGATTGTTGCGTGGTAAATAGGAGAGACAGAGACATGACTTTTAAAAATGAATGACAAACGTAAATATAAGGTACTTGTCACATTTTTACTGCTCTATGTATGCCACTACTCTATTTACCATCAAAGCAACTATGTCAATGTCCATCACTTATTTGTTCAAGGCATAATTTAAACCAAGATAGAAGTGAAACTTTTTATACAATAAGAATATAACTAAAAGCAACTTCATAACTGAAGTGCATTTTAAATAATTTAGCCAAAATAATATTTACTCAAATATATCTTAAGAGGCCTAAAATCTCAAAGTACCACGGGAGAACAAAAATTGACCATGTGCCAACTTCTAAGTTCAAGTGCATTTTGAATAATTTAGCTAAATCAATATTACTCCAAGTATGTATCTTAAGAGGTCTAAGATTTCAAAGTGCCATATCGAAGTGGAAAATTCAAAGTTAAAAAATTGATCACGTGGCACCTTATTAACTTCAAAGTACAAAGTGTCGACGTACCTTAAGAGGCCTAAGATCTCAAAGCGCCACACGGGAGCGAAAAAGAGGTTTATGTAAGACATAAGAGGAAGGAGGAAGATGATATATAATAAGAAGAAAGAGAATAAAGGGGTGACTTGGGGAATTGGCTAAGGAGAAATAGAATTAAAAAGCTGAAGTAGAAATAGACCGAAAGCATATAAAACTTTTGCTAAAGACCAACAAAATTGACAATTCATTGCTTCAAATTTAATTTAAGAATTGCTAGTACAATCCTATTCCTAACCACTGCATTCCAATTCCAAAAGGGGATGAAATTAGGTTTTATTATTATTATTATTATTATTTTTTGTTTCAATTTTATATAGATATAAGTAGACTCTTTAAAAAACCTAATGACATGAATGGTTTAAATCTTGATAATTTACAGATTTGTCAAAATAGAGATGCTCGAATCCAAATTATAAATAAGTGAAAAACCAAACCAAAATTTAAGCCATATGGCATATTTGATTTTTGTTCTAAAGTTAAGAAACCCTAATCTCTTTCTCTCTCAGAATTTACATACAGCTCTTAACTTTACACATCGAATGTATGGAACTCTGACATGTTTACCTTACGAGTTAGCATTGTGTAATATAAGGTTAAGATGTTGAACTTATATTTAAAGTGTTAATTAGAACGTCAAGTGTGAAATCTAAAATTTAAATTTTAGTGTGAATCTTGGACTTGAAATGTTACAACAGAACAAACTACAGCTATTTGCTTTATCTTACTTATGACATTTAACTTTACATTTGTATGGTACAAAATTAAAGTATTTTGGCTTATGAGTTACACTCGTATAATTTAAGATTAAGATGCCGAACTTATATTTAAAATGTTTGGTCATGGGAATGCTACCTTAAGAATTAGTAATTCCTGTGCTTTTGGCCAGGACACTCACGTATATAAAAAAAAGGTTTGAATCATGGGCTTGAACATTACAATGGAGAAGTGGTTTACAAAACCTTCTATTAGTAATATGCAACACTAAGTTGTTAACCTCAACTACATAAAACCATCTATTATTGCTTAGAAGGTCCAAGAGCTATGCGGAACTAAAAAAGGAAAAAAAAAAAAAAACTCAAATTTAGGGATCTTAAATGTCCATCATCTAAGATATCAAGAATTTTTAGATGCCTAGAAATATAAATATCCGACATTTTTAGATAGGCGTGTTGTTTTGTAGAAAAATTTATAATGACGTTTGGAAATATTTGTTTATTAGTGAATGAGTATATTGATTTATTTAAATTATAAAATTAAAAAAATAAAAAACGAGGGGTGAAAATGTAAAGCGATGATGCCTTCAACATATTTCAAAAGAGCATCCAAAATATTTATGCATCCCGTATGGACATCTCAGAGTATCCCAACATGACTTGTTCCCGCAAAACAAAGGTAGAAATCATGATTCTCGTCCAACAATCTTGAATTCTCACAAAACAACCGTCCCTAGGTGTTAGTAGTCACTTTGTCTCTCTCTAGTTCAACGTGCTGCTTCTGAAGCTTTAGGCTCTCTCTCACATAGCCCTATCACTTTTTGGCTCAAAGCAAAGCCTTGGATCGTTACTAAAAGGCTACAAACTATGAAAATATAGTGGGTCATACACTCTTATTCTATGCTTAAAAACTTTTACAATAATTTAGTTTTTCTTCTTATATATATTTTTTCATTAAATTTCTAGCCTTCAAAAGGCAGAAAGCAATTCAATAATTTACTATTTAGACAATTGATTATAACGTATCATAAAGAAAACATAAAGATAGAAATACTATTTAACCATGGTAACAAAAGTAACAAAAAGATAACAAATCTTTAGATAATTCTATGAACCATGACTTTATCCACACCACACCACGACACAGATAACTTTACTTTTGGATTTTTTACGAAAAGTCTCGTATCAATAGAGATATTATCATTTACTTATACACCATGAATGAAGCTCCCCAATAGTCAATGTAAAACATTAGTGAAACATTATTTGCATTCCAGAGATTCAATTCGAGACAATTTTCAATATCAAAGACCTAAATCATTATATTTACAAAAATACTAGACTAAATCATTACAAAACAAAGTAGAGTATATAGTGTGGTTCATCTAGAGTGATTTGGGCTCTTCACTTGGTTTCCTGTTGGTGAACTCACAATTAAATGAAAATCGTACCTGGGTCTTGGAGTTTTTGACCTCTTGCCACAGCAATTGTTATAAACATTGTACCAAACTGCAATATCATTCACAGTTCACAGTTCACATTTGAGTGCACGAGTAATCTCCCACAAAACTGGATCATTAGAATGATCGAAACTATCTGCACGTCCGCTGCTCCGAGTCCTGCAATTTACTATTGCAACCACAAAACTTTCATTCTCGAGTGAAGATGGATACATTACTTGTTCTTCCTGCAAAATTGGAACCTACCCTTAACAACACTTGCGTTGGAAGAATCTGACAAACATAAGACTTCAAATTGAATAATGATTCTCATGATCAGATCATCATACATATATGATAATGATTTGTACATGCTTCAGCATGATATATCGCAATGTAAACCATAGAAAATGACACTGCAGTATTTAATCATTATATCTCATCTGCTAAGCTGCATCCTCATTATTTGCTAGACAAAAAATTGGAAACAATACTAAGTACTTAGAACCGTTTCTACAAGTTTTGCTTATAGACACTAAGCTCAGGGACAAAAAGAAAAGTATAATTTGCCCTAAAAACGACTTACAACCTTTTTTTGGGGGTATAGTTTTCACTTTTTTTTAAACACTTTTAGAAATTTATATGATTTATTAAACAATCATTTTTAAAATTTTTAAAATTTGGATAAATTTTTCATAATGTTTTTAGGGCAGATTATAGATATAGCTAAAAAAAATGGTTTTTAAAAAATAGAAAACCAAAAACAAAAATCTTATCCAACAAGCAACAACTATCCAGACATAATAATAATAATATTTCATGTTTCAGCGCAGAAATCTTACCTATTGGCAACTTTAGAGAAGTATACTATAGCAACTTATTATCTGTTCTTAAACAAAAACCATTTTCCCCCTCAAATGGCTATTCTGAAGTATAAGCAAAGATTAAAGAAAGCATTATTTTAAGTTCAGCCTCTACCTCAGGTAGTTCACAGAATTCATCGGGAGATATTTGCAGCAACTCTGCAGCAGTTTGACCTGTACACCATGCAAAGATTTTGGCACTGTCGTCCGCAAGGGTGATTTTCAGGTCGAATGTACGAACAATCTCAGACTTGCATTCATAACGACAGAAGCTGCACTCAATTTTGCCAGGTGTCTCCTCGACAAAATGACCACAGATGGAATGCAAAAATTTCGTACTAACATGACAATGTGAAACTTGGTCAAGTCGAACTCGACACACCTGGCAAGGAGATTTTGGGAAACAAAATAAAAATCATAGCACATACAGATTCCACAACTGCATTGAATTGGGTAGGCAGAATAAGTAGATAGTCCATTTAAGATCTGATATTATGATCGGAATGAATTAAAATTCTCAAGAAATAACAAGCATGTGATGTAAGACTACATCAACAAATGAAAATATTCTTAATCTATATTCGATAAAAATATGATCGTGTTAACTCCATTATTAGATTACCAGGGTATGGCAAAATTTCCCTTCCCATTTTCCACTTTGGGAGGGGTATGATTGATAAACAGAATTATCAGGGAATAAATAAAGGGTCAATTCTAAATAACTGTTGTCTTCTTTAAAAAAGAAAATTCAAAATGAGAATGAAAAGAGCACACATTCTTGGAAGGTCGCAAAGTTGTGTTTTGGGAGCGTAGCCATGATGTTTTAGAAGAAAAATATTGTGGGAAGAACATTCCTAATTTTGAATATTATTTTAGGATTCAGTTCTGGAAGCGTAGCATGTGAGTCGGGTGTCCACAAAAATTAAAATTTCCCCGAAATCCCAATAAAGGTTGCCAAAAGAGAAACCTCATTGGGCTCTTTCTTTCAAATGTAGTTCCTTATAACACATAACATAATACAGAAAGAAAGAAAGAAAAGGAAAAAAGAAAATCTTTACCTTTGTACCATGAGCGTTACTGCTTAGATCAGAAAGTTGAGAAAGTTTATGAAGACAAGATGAAGTTAGCAATGCTGGCAAACAGCTAAGGTTGACAAAAGAAGCTCCGACATGATTCTCAATCCATAAAGCCTCCAACCTTCACAAGAAAAAAAACTCAAATCACATTAAAAACGCCATTAAGAAATTGTCCAAATATCTAAAAAGAGAGAAATCTAACACTCCAAGTCGAAGATAAGTTATTAATGCTACGTCTGGAAGCATTTCAATCTGCTCAAGACTTCCAATTTATATCCTAGATAACTGAATATAGAGTTTGAATTAGCTCACCGATTCTTGTTCGTGGTGCAAGTCAAGCCACTTATATATACTGTATGTCCAACGCCTACCCTTCCCAATGACCTTTACAAGAGGGGGCAGAAAGAAACGGAAAATGAAATTGGAACTCAGAAAATGAGTAGAATTTTCTGTTATTTGAAGAGCTATGTAAAAATCAGACTCATAAAACCTAGAAAATAGAAGTTTCTAGGCAAAGAAAATGTCGATACCAAGATCTCACGAAGTGTAACTTCGCGGAAATTTCTCCTGTGTTATCTTCTATTCTCATAGAGAAAACAGCTTCTGTGGTATTTCTTTCATTAACTATATCTACAATGTTACCATATAAGCTAATGCCAGTCATCTTGTCTTGAAGGTCGATCACAAATGACTGTACACTTCACAAATAGCATGAAAAGTTAAGCAGATTCATCTCCATAAAGATCAGAAACCAAACTATAACAAGACAGATTTCAAAAATAGGAAATAACTAAAAATCAAATGATAGGAACCAGAGAAATATATTGATAATAAAAGAAATGCAAAAAGATAATTACCAAGTAATTCGAGTTACTTAGACCCTCCCAGTCCCTTCTCTTGAATATTCTTAATCAAGCTAAACCAAACCAAACAGTTACCTACCTCAATCATTTCCCACTTATTCTATTTAAAACAAATCCCCCTGACATCTGTTCTAAATAATTACTAATATATCCTTAATACCTAATAATATTCCTAGTATCCTAATAGCATTCCTATTACACCACAATTACAGTAATTCCAGTTAATTGTTTTGCAAACAAAGAAAAAACAAACGCTTGGACGATGGGGGATTTGAAATTTAATATTTTAGCATTGCAACCAGTCATATATAAAAGGCCAAGTGAATCGTCCTCAGTATTTTAACATCAGAAATGGGTTGGGCACAAAATGGCTTTTACTTTTGCATCTTCAAAACTTGAAAGTATGATGATGCTAAACAGGGACTGCAAAAAAATGACCGAGGCTAAGATTGCAAAAGGAAATGGTTTCTTGTGAAGAGGCTCGGGTTAGAAGAAAGTTGGAGCTGCAATCCGAATGGAAGGAGCTAGCCATTGTTTATGTCAAAACTTTTGCAAAATACAAAGCTTTGGGTCTAGAAGATGAGCCAAGAGTTTAAGTATTATTGAAGTTCGGTCTTTCTAAGGATGGAGTTTTTTGCAAACAAGTTGAAGTTTTCTACTCTGATGATGTTTTTGCTTCCACCAATATTGAAGGGATCGGTTCAGATTCTTTTGGCGCATCTCCTTGTAAAGTCTCTTGGTTTTTGTTCATCAGACTGTTTTATCTTGTATCTTCTGTTTTTTATCGGTTTATTCTCTTTTGTATTTTTTTATTACTTTCTTTTGCACCTTTTGGGTGTTTGTTTCCCTTGAACATTGTATTTCCTTTTCATTTCTCCAATAGAAATTCGTATCTCGTTCCAAAAAAAAAAGACCGAGGCTACATGTAGGACCAAATCAATCTGGATGCATATATAATACAACCAAAGTCAGGTTTGGTTGATACAGGGATTCGGAAAGAACTGTAACTGTACAAGAGATAATGGGGACGCAAGAAACGTTATAAATGTCAAGGGTCCATCGTAAGTTTGTTACTCCCATTGTTGGGCTGTAGTTTGGGTTGTTATTTTGTGTGTAGTAACTAGGGTTGGTTTGTTTTATTGAAAGTTGTCGTTCCTCTCATTGTAACTTTTCATCCTATCAATGAAAATTTCAGTTTCCTTTTTGACAAAAAGAAAAAAGAAAAAAATGTCAGGGGTCCATTGAACTACTATCTAGTTATTAAAGAAAAAGAAAAAGAATACAATGCAACCCGAACATTAACTTTATGAGAATCTTGAAAAAAACTCACCCGGAAAGGATAATTACCAAAATCAATTGTCCCATGTGAATCGCAGGGCAAGGAAACTTGAGAAACACGAGGACCCTGAGTAGGATACGTTGTACCAAGTACCCTTGAAGCTTGGTTCATATTCTGTGTTAATACACATACCTGTGCAGAATACTTGCGTATTTATAGGATCCAAGAATCAGAAAATTCTTTTTGTTTTGTGTGTGCGCTTGTGCGTGGTATGGGGAATGTGGGGATCTACAACTCACTTGCTCCTCGTGCTGAATGCAAGGCACCAAATATAATTGTGTAGCACTACCATATTCAAGACAAAGTTCATCATTTGTTCCAATGCCATTCTCGTTTACACTGGCAATATATGGTCTATCAAGTGCAAGCAAGCTACCAACACTATTGAAATGAAAACTGTTATACAGATATAAGGATATGATTATGACAACTGATCAAATTAAAAGATTCACCTTAAAAGATTGGCTAGCAAAACTTGTTCACCCCATAAGAGAAACTTTAACTTCAAACCATCGTTATCAACAAGAATGATTTGAATACTCTGTATGCTGTTAATCTTCTCATGAACTACCAGTGGACCAATAGACTCAATCCTGCAAATATTGAAGATAAGGAACCCATCATTTAGTTCATAATCAGACATCTAAGATCCATCTTACTGATTTATCTGGTCAATTCAGCCTCTTAAGTTTAAGCACTGACCACTTCAGGGAGGGGGAAAAAACAAAACAAGACCAACATAATACAAGAAACTCATTGCAGGTAAAGAAATCAGTTTAAATAGAGATTGGATAAAGCTGAAGAAAGGTACGAAAAAAGAAAAAAGAAAATCGTTATATCTTACTTTGCATATAATGAATATGTAGCCCCTTTATCGACAGCATCAAGAGAAACAGAGGCAAAGGAATCAGAACAAAACTGGGCTCCTAAAAGTATTACATCATCGTCCTCTTCCTACAATAAACAGAAGATATTAACTGTGTTATGAGCAAAAGAAACTGTAGTACTGATTCTGATAGTTAGGAAAACCATTTTTGACAACCTCATCTAACAATGTGATGAAGTATTCAGTTGGTAGAAGTCGTGGATGGCCAGAACCACCACCGGCAGCACGAAGATAGCATCCAGTTAAAAATATTTGCCTCCCTTTCTTCAGAATCCCATTCACTAAGTCGTAGAATCTGCCATCGAAATATTCTAGTTTTACTTGTTCATGTTCTGCCATGAAACATGAAGACTGCAAGTTCTGTGCAGTTTGCAGAGTTGTAACACAACCTTAAGATCAAGATGAAAATATGGAAATGGAAGTTTTTTTAGTACTACATGTGGGAAACAGTAGGCTTTTTGAAGATAAGAAGTCCGTGGTGGATTCTTTTTGTGTGAATATACAACATATGGCTTCTTGGTGGGCTACAATCCATAAGAAGGCTTTTTGTAATTATAGTCTTCAAATAATTATACGATATTGGAAAGCTGTGATTGTATACATCTAGGGGAGGGTATCTCTACCCTCTGCCTTTAGGTTGCTTTTTATTGTTTAGAAGTTGAATATAAGTTGACCGTTTCTTATATAAAAAAAAAATATATGTCAATTACTGCTGAGTTATGCTCGCTTTTGTTACGGAAATGAAAGTTGATTTTTAGGGATAAAAACTAAAAAAATGTGATTCATGCATATACATCTGAGAGGATATTAAAAACACTACTTTAATGTCCAGATGCTATAAATAAATAAATAAAACCCAGCGTTTCCAGCCTTCGCTTTAAATGGAGAACTTGGGTTGGGAATTTTCTTCGATACTAATTTTTCAATCTTGATAAATGGCAGTCCGAAGGGGAAATCTCTTGCAACCAAGGGCATCAGATAGGGAAACCCTCCTTCTCATTTCTCTTCTATCATTGTGGTCGATGTTCTCCATCAATTGTTAATGAGATGAATGCAAGGACCTCATTCAAGGTTTTAATCATAAGGGATTATGTCGACCAGTTCGCTGATGATGCTACTTTTTTTTTTTAATTCAGAGAATTAGTCTTCCTATAACCTAACTAGGAATTTTCTGTATTTTTTAGTTGACGTTGAGGCTTAAAGTAGATAGGGAGAAGTGTTTCATAGTAAGTGTTAACTGTAACAATGTTAAACCATCGAGGTTGGCTAATTTATTTGGTTTCAAGGTCGCTCCTTTTCCTAAGGTGTATTCGGGCGTGCTTTTAGGTCATTACCCTAGAGTTTATTTTTTCTTGTACTTGCTGGTTTGTAACATTTAGAATGTGATCACGTCTGGGTGGAAAGCCTTTTTCTATAAGGCTCACTTCGGTAGCTGGTATTGAGGGGTACCCGTACCCCACTGTACTTTTTATCTCTTCTCAAACTCACAAGGTTGATTGAGGAGAAGTTAGAAAAGGTCTTGAGAGACTTTTTAGGAAGGGGTTGAGGAGGGAGGTGGCCATTTAGTTAATTAGAGTTTTGTACTTTTGTGTCAAAATCTTGTGAGGAGGCCGGTGTGGGGATTAAGAATCTGGTGAGTAAAAGAGTATTGCCCAACTGGATAAATGGTTATGTATGACGATGCCCTTTGAACCTCAAATATTAGCACCATGGAATGCAAGTATGAGATTAATTCCAACGGTTGATTTTTTTTTAATAACTGGGAATCGGATCCAACAGTCGATTCTTAAATCCTAAAAAGGTGATCTTCCAACGTCATCCGAGCTTTCCATCTTTCATTACATTTTCTACGGGATAGATATAAAGTTCGATTCTGGAAAGAACCTTGGCTTTAAAATAGATCTCTTCAGCCGTACTTTCCCTTTTATTTTATAGTCCAATTAATAAAATTCTCTGGTTTCCTTAGTTGTTTGAAAAGGTGAGTCCCTTTCTTTGATTTTTGTTTTTGCATAGCCTTTCTCATTCGAGAAATAGATGAGTTAGTCTCTCCCATTTCTTCCATTCAATCAATCAATCTTCATCCAGATTGTAGCAATTGTTGAATGTGCTCTATCGATCCTTCTAATGTTTTCACTAGCCTGTCTTCATACATTTGATTGATTTCGTCGTCTTATTTTTCTCCAACGCACTATTTCTTTCTCTAAATTGAGGAAGATAGAGCCTCTACTCTACAGTTGTCCTTGGTCTGAATTGGTGAGTCATGTGCAAGTAATGCAAAGGATCTTATTGCCTACCATGGCCGTCCCTTTTGCTTCCAAAGTGTGGGGTTGTATGTGGCAGACTTTTGATATTTCTGTTGTTGAGAAGTAGAGCATTCAAGGGATGATGGAGGAAATCGCTTTGGATCCGTATTTTGGGGGAAAGGTCGTATGCTTTGGCAGGATAGTTTTTTCATGCTATGTATTTGGTAGGTAGGAAAGAAACCAAGAACTTTCATGGGGAAAGGTTTTGGGACCAGATGCGCGGTCCAACTTTATTCTTAGGTTGATACTTCGAAACTTTGTTTTGCAATTATTCTTATTTCTTTATTATTTATCAACAACTGGGGGTTCTTTTTTGTAATTTTGTTTTTAAGTTCTCCGATTTTAGTCAGCCCTTTTTTCATTAGCCTATATCTATACTGTAATTCTTGATTCTTTTGAATGCAAGCCGTTTTTTTCATTAAAAATTTTATATATTGCAACCAGAGTTATAACGCCCTCAGCCCAGGATTCGGAATCCAGATTTGACACCTCTCTGCCCCGACATCCCCTGCGATCCGACCGCGTCACCGTCTAGTTTTGAGCTACTTAGAAGAGCGTAGGCTATCCTTACGGACCAACACGAGTCCTTTCAACATGCTTTGTCCTCACTCACATTCTTCCTAGTAAAGCAACTAGGAGGTCATCCAGCCGAAGATTGCTCCAGGTCAAGCACGCTTAACTTTGGAGTTCTTACGATTGAGTTACCGAAAAGGAAGGTGCACCTTGTTAGTATAGGTAGTAACTATCATTTATTTTAAGCTTTCTTAACCATACTTTCTATGGTCCCAGGATCCCTCTCATTCAGATGTGGTATCGGTTCATTCTAATCGGGCGTTACAAGAGTGCAGTGGAGTAGAGGATCATATAATTAAGCAAACAAATGGCCATTCAGAATACATTCTTTCCAAATGGTTTTATTGCATGAACAATAGACCATAAAGGTAGCATCGCATAATAAGTGGCTTACCTCCGATGGAGATAAAGATCAATCGTATTAGAGCTCCAAAAGTCCCCCAAAGTAAGCATGTGTATATTTGTACCTTAAGAAAAACATGTTAAACATGTTGATAAAAAAATTCAGATTCATGTCTGTAATGACATCTGAACAGTTGAACTCGGGAAACAACATCCTGAGGTTAAGTAATTCAAATAATAAAAAAAAAATCTAAAAATACGTGAAGTTATCAATTCTTGAAAAACAATACTTATTGTGTAAATTTAATAAGTACTACGAATCTTTATCTATATGTTTCAGTTTCTTTAACCTTTTCCTCAAGCTACAAATATACTAGCTTCATTAATCACGTGTTCTAATTTGCAACTGCAACATCAACAACATTTAGGCTTAAGATGGGAGAAAAAGGTACCTGGAAGAATAAACTCATCGACAATTACAGCTTCCAAAACGCTACTTAAAGATAGAAAATTCTTCTCATGTATGGAGTCAATAGAAACTGTTTTTGGGAGCTTCTTCCTCCTAATCTTCTTCTTCAACTGATTAATGCATTCTGGCATTTTCTTGGGAGCACCAACTCTGTGTTGCTCATACCAGGCCTTCAAAACAAAATCAGTAGCAAAATAACTTTGTAGAATAGGACTGTAAATGATTAATTTAGATTATCTTAGTAGGTAACTAGAAGTGGAACCAGCCATTGCTTAATGCTTAGTTAAGAAATTTAGTTACAGTCCTTATTCAGCTTACTGAAGTTTTACAATATCTGTCAACAACTGTGTTTTGTCTTAGTCATCTAAATCAGGTGCAATCCGTTGATCCCTTAACTTGAAGGTTAGATCTAGCTGTTCAAGGGTATGGATTGCACATTATGCATACTTCAACTAGATCATTTCCATCCCAACACTTCTCTCAACATCATAGCTTTTGTGGCTAATCCTGACTCCCTCAAGCATCAGATGACTCGAGCTAATAACCGCAGGGTCTAGCAGAGTGTGCCAACTGAAACAAACATCAGTATTCCACCACTGAGAAACCTGGTGAGTCAGGTTACATCTGTGGAAACTATAGAAAATAGAAATAATTCTATGCTTCGGAAAAACTTATTCATCCCATGCTAACGAGTTACAAGCTAGAGGGGCACTTGACAAGAGCGAGAAAGAAATCCAGTATGTATTTTCTCCTAGAGAATAAATTAATTCCTTGACCATCAGTGTATTTCTTATTCCCAATCAAGAATATGAAGCTTGGGAGGCAATCGAATCATTTCTCACTGGGATGGTTGAATAATTCCATGACAGTTGAATTAGCCTCTCGGCTGATGAGATACTGAACTGCAAAGGAACATTGGGATGATACTAAGAAGCTTTATGGGAAGTTTATATTCGATAGATGCAGCAGTAAACAAGGGTGGGAAATTTAAAAATGGAGAAACACCTCAACACTATGAAAAGATATGCAGTGACTCTTGCACTGGCTATAAACTCAATCTCACGGACTAAGAATCTATCTGGGGAGCAATCTAAATCACTTGAATGTGGCCAATATGGTTATTCCTAATACTTCAAAAATAATTGAATTACAATTGAACCAAGCAATTTCTAAGGAAACATCAACTTCAAAAGCCTAGAAGCAACCTATGAATACTGATAATTCAATCTTCGTTAAGAATAAAACATGGGTTCTCGTACCACCCCCTCCTCACTTCGATCAGATTAGTAATAAGTGGGTGTATAAAATAAAAATAAACTCAGATGGCCTATGCTACGATGCCAAATATGGTGAAATATTTAGCCTAGTTGTGAAACATTCAACAAATCAGGCAACCAATTTAATATTTTAGTTCGATTACTCAAAGTATCTCGAAAATCGAAAGAATCAACGTTAGAGAAGTTTGAATTGGCGGTACCTGCGAGAGCTCAGATAGCAAAATCGCAGGGGTGACGGCACTCGAATAGGCGATACAAGTTTTAAGGACGCGAGAGGCGATCCAACTCCAACCAGGCGCACTGGTCTCCGCTCCATTAACATTTGGATCGTAGTCTTCTTCGTCTTCGAATGCTAGCACAGACCTCGCGTAGTCGACAAATTTAAGAAACGGATCATCTTCTTCTTCCTGAAGCCGCGGGGGATCAAACTCCATGGCTGAGTTTCCGCCGGCGCCGTCGGAGTTCAAACGCCGGCCACGAGAAGCCATTCTTGCGCCCTAAATTTTTGAGGTTCACTTTCAGCGGGAAAGTAGGCTGGCAATTTGGCGCGGATTTTAAGGCATATACTTAATAATAAATATTTTGAAATTAAAGAAATAAATAAATAGATAGTTTTAGAGGAAAACATTCTCGTTTCTTTCATTGTCTTTTTGTTTCTAATCTTTTGAGAAATTTTGAACAACCCAATCGTTTCTGTTTTTAATTTTTTTCAATATAAAAGTATTTTTAATTAATTTTTATCTACAAAATGCCCTAATAAAATAACATAAATTTTTAAATATTTAATTTAGAAAATTAATTTTTATATAAAACTTGTATATTTTTTTTATTAAAATGTTTAGAGAACAAAAAACAAAAAATTATTATAAAGGCGTGGTGTTTTATTTTTCATTTTTAATTAAAAAAGAAAAACAAAAAACAGTTATCAAATACAATTATATTTTTATTGATTAAAAAAGAGGAAACAAAAAATATGAAAGCAACTAATGGAATATAGTTCAATTGATCGATATATTAAGCCAACACAAGCTTAGCTGGGTGGTTACATACCTCTCTGACCAAGAGCTCATGAGTTAGAATCCTCGTCCCATTTTGTTTTGTTTATTAAAATTGAGGGTGTGTTCAGTAGGAGATCCCTCCTTGTTTGTGGCTCGAAAATGATGACCTATTGCTAATGGGGAGATATCTTTCATTAGGGTTTGATACTCCTTAATGGGGATCCCCAGAATAATAGCTTGCTTGTGGAACCCTTTGTCCTTTCCTTGGCGCACTGCCATCGAATCTACTAGTCCTCCTCAAAGCCAATGGGATAGAATTCGCATTAATTTTGAGATGGAACCCATGAATATTGATAAAAATTCATTTGATTCAGTCGTCTTTTACCTACAAAGAAAAAAGGGTATCTTGATACTTTTTAACTATCAAATACCAATAAATTTGACACTTAAAAGAATACATCAAGTAACAATATATACCATAAAAAACAAGTTGTCTAAAGCTTGTAACTAGTGTCAATCATCATGTTAAAATGAAAATTCACTTCAAATTGAATTATCAGTAACTTTTGCAACCTTTTTTATTGGTTATGTTTTGAAGAATTGCCTAATAGATACAACTAAGTGTTACATTATTGTATGAAGGATGATGTGTAGTTGATCTATCTTTTTTTTATATGTTCGAAATAAAATACGTGTATTTGTAACTTGCCTACATTTGTAATTATCATATATCTCTAATCTAGAGGTTGCGAGTTCAATCTTCCACCCCACATATTGTACTTAATAAAATATATTTTTTTTTCATAACGTAGTCTTAGGAATAAAATTTAAAAAATCGAAGTACATTTGATTTATTTATTTTTATCATTATTTTTTTTTTGAGGGTGGGGATATGTTACATGAAATAATGAATGAAAGTTTTGTTAACTTCTTTGTCTTTTTGCCTTTAACATTTTGTTATAATTTTTTCTCTATAGAAAATTTTGTCTCATTGTGTCAAAACATGGCTTTGTTAAAGTTTGATATGAAACATATTATGACATTAAGTGATACATATGAGAATTGTATATTATGTTATTCAGGTCTGAGTGTAGTGTTGTAGTGATCATGCTTGACAAGAAGATTCCACAAGCAAAACAAAAAAAAAAGCTATTTTGAATGGTAATCTTTTCAGATTATTAAGAAACGTTATTTGGTCTCAATATTTAAATTCAGTTGAGAAAAATTTCAAGTACAAAGCAACAATCAATTATATCATGTCAGGATAGAGGCGTTAATCTACGAACTTGTTTGACACATTAGTATTTTTTTAAACCACTTGACACGTTAGTTAAAACTAAAAGAGTAACGAATACAAAAAACTAATGATGATTTAAAAAATAATAAAATAATATTTATAAAGATTTTTCATAAGCTAAAAGTACGATCACATCAAGAACATTGAAACTTGTTGAAGTGACAATCGATCACGGATCCCATAACAACAAAAGAGATAGATCAACTACAACATCATTCACTCAACTCGATTCGACGTTAATTAGAAGAAAGAACAAAACTTAAAACACAAATCTCTCTAGATTCTATGTTTTAAAGATATATAGTTTTAATAATGAGATGGTTCACAAAAGGGCACCCTAAGAAAATTCTGTGGAAGTAATTATTGCAAAGAGAAGGGATGGACCTACAAAAAGTAAAAATTGTAGAGTGAAGAGAGTTTGTCAGAGTAAGTCAAATCTGAAAAACAAGAAATGAAATGAAAAGGGCAGTTGAAATTTTGTTGTTAGGTTGATATAAATGCCCATGAACACTCACCTCACATTTTTCATACTTTATTCTATCATTGTTCTTTTTTCATATTTACCAAACAAACCCTCTCAATCTTTCATGTCAACTATTGACCTTTTCTTGTATGTTTCTTTTCTTCTTTCTCGACATTAATTCGATAATATATGTCTTAACCACTCGTTGATCAACTATATATTCCAAGTTGATCGTTAAGAAATAGTTACAACAATAGAAAATACGGCTACAAAATGAGATTACAAGTTCTCACCATACAATATAAGATAATTATGATACGCTACTTGATAATTAAGTCATTTTCAACTTACCAAACTCGGTTTAGTCTAATTTCAAATCAAAAAGTTATTTTTTCCTTAAAATTTTGGAATACCCCTATCTCCTAATCAAATAATATAATAGCATCACACGTGTGTATTCGAGAAAAGCGATATGATTTTTTGTTGATTGAAAATATAATTAATTTTATTCATGTGACTGATGAAGGTCAATATCTTATTTATTTATTCCTATAATTTAAGTTGATCCTTAACTAGTTAGCTACGTTCACATTGACACACCTGATAAGATGTCGGTACTCCAAAGTTGTTTAAATGATAATATTCACTATCTTGTTTAAAATCTCATGGAACAAATGCAACCTTAAATGTACAAATTTTGCACACTAATAATGGAGTTTAGACCCCACATTAGGGAAATTTTATAGTATTAGATAATAGTACCAATTATTTTCATCTATATTTAAGCATATGATTATTTAATTATTCATTATTAAATAAATTAGGGATAACAATAATATAAAAGTAATGACATGGTTGACATTTTGTTTGGAAATTTATATTCTTATAGTTGAACTATAAAATTAGATTATTCCAGCCCCTTTCTATTTTCTACTAAAATAACGTCTTAAAACTTGATCGAAGTTCACATTTTTTTATACCGCTATGAATCCTACCTCCATTAAAACATAATATCCTATATTATAGAATATTTAATTTAAATTTAAAAACATAATATCCTATACTATAGAATATTCAATTTAAATTTAAACTTGGTATTATTTTACAACTAGCATTATTCTTTTCCAACAAAAAGAAAGTTCCACTCCCAAATTTACCAACGGTTCAAGTTTGGAGTACACCTTCTCAACAACAAAACTAATGAATCCACTCTAATAGAGGAAAAATAGATTTCCTTCCTCCCAACACACCATCAAAATTAAAGAAGCTAATCATTAAATAAAATAACTTTGTTAAAAGTATGTTTCTCAATGCTTTATTTTTGTCGTCAAAGGTTACTTTTAGAACTTAATTAACTCAGTAATACTCTGTTTATTGACAATCAATAAACAGAGCGCTATTGACAGTCAACCAATAAAAGGAGTACTAGCTATCAATTTAAGTTCACAAATTATAGTTGAGCAAACTCGAACTATATTGTAAGCATGTCATAAGACAAACAATTTCACAACAAAATTTTATTTTCGTTGGAGGTATATTTCTCAATGTCATTGTTTTTTTTTGCCAAATGTTATTTTGCCGTTGAGAAATGGAAGTCGTTGGCGAAAGGGTTTTTCTCGTCAATAAAAAGTTATGCTGACGTTTCTTTTATAAATTGGGACGAATGTTTGAAATTTCTTGTGGCGACCTTTCACCAGGTAAGTCATTAAGATTCTATTTTCTATACTCTACCTAAAAGACCTCATACTACTGGCGATCGATACACATCTAACGATCTTTTTCAATTCCAACCAAACTAAGTTTCGAATCCCAGAAGACACACCGATACAACACTCGTACTTATTATTATTTTTCTTTTCGGTATAAAAGAACAAATAGAAAGAAGGCAAGAAAGATTTTTCACGACCAAGATATGAACAATGACGATAATTGCAAAAGCATCATCATCACAATGACTTCTGAAAGACCCTGAAAAGAGAGCTTGTCATAATTAGTTTATGAATGTGTGATCAAATTTTGACATCATCTCCAAACCATTGACTCTATGGTAAAGATAGGTATAAAATATTAAATTTACTCTAATCAATTCGCTTAAAATTTTAAGTTTATTGGTGATTTAGCATGGTAATTCCTGTGTATTCTCGAACTCTTGTATTGACATTTTTTTCTTATTTAATATTGATTTCCACTTGTTGGATCTGGTGCTATAATTTCTAAGCCTATAAATAAGAGGGAGTGTTAAGATATATTTATAAAAATTAAATTTACCTTGACCCATTAACTTAAGTTTTTTTTGCATTAGTAGTTTTATATGGTACATTTCAGAGTAGAAAGTCTCGTGTTCTCAACTCCGATATTGTCATTTTCTCCCTAGCTATTTAATATTGATTTCCGGCCTTGTGCAAAATTTTAAAGCCCACAAGTGAGATTAAGTGTTGAGATATCTATAAAACATATTCTAAACCATCAGCTTAAGTTTTTGGATTTATCGGTAAGTTCACATGGTACCAAAGCAGGTATATGCAAACTCTTTATATTGTCATTTCCTCTCTATTTAATATTGATTTCCACTCATCGGGCCACAGACTTCTAAACCCACAAGTGACGAAGAACGTTAAAAATATATATAAAAGAATCCGCTCAAGCTTTCGAATTCATCAATGATTTTGAACACTTTTGTAAAGTTGCAAAACACACTAAGAAAGAAAAGAAAAAGATGCTAATTCAGAGAGACATAGAAGAGATGTTGCAGATCAGAGCAATAATGGGTTGAAAGACCAGATAGTGAGTGAAGGACAGTTTCTTCACATGGCCTCTCTAATTTCTCTTTCTAAATTTCTTAGACAGAATTTGTTTTGTTTTTGGTGGGCATCAAATCCATCAGTGAGTTTTCAGAGAATAAAACTTTACAGCAAAAACAACAAACGAATATTAAGTAATCTTTTCTTTTTCCTTTTGCCCTTTTTCCCAGCTGACTCACTTGCCTTAGCTAGCTTGCATCACACCAAATACAAAACTACTTCTGCTGACTTATCCATATGAAAGGCTTTTGTGTTACAGCTTAGCTATCTAGCTAGCTCTTCTTCATTTGTTTTTGGTCTCGAGATGAAGACGACGACGATATCGACGAAAACAAAACTAGATAAAATGATTAAAAAGATTCTCGAAATCTTGTTTGTAATGTACCGCTTTGTTTTGTTTTGTTTTCTTTAGAGATGATATATATAACGGTTAAGTATGAGTTCTTCTTAGATGTGATTTGAAAGTAAGATGTAGTGTGAAAACCCAGCATCTAAGAAAAGATGATACGTTAGGGAGAAAAAAGTTGTAATTTCTCTATTTTTACTATTTTTTATATGTATTTGGTATCAAATCTAGAATGTTAAATAACACTTTTGGTCCCTATACTTTAGTTGGAGTAACGATTTAGTCGGCTTTCAAAAGTTACGATTTAGTTAATGTATTTTCATATTAGTAACAATTTAGTCTCTGAAATTTAGAAGGTAACAATTTAGTTTTTGAAGTTTAAAGTTTGTAATGATTTAGTCTTCATTGTGAAATTTGTTGTTAAATTTCTTATATATGTAGATTGATAAAATGAATATCAAATTTATTTATAAATTACAAAAATTAAATTGTCATATGATAAAAATTTACTCTTAATTTTGATGAGGATATTCGTGGTAAGAATTAAATTGTTGCAGATTTTAAATTATAGAGACTTAATTACATATTAAAGTTCATACACTAAATTATTCCTAATATGAGAGTACAGGGACTAAATTGTTAAAATTGAAAGTTTAGGAACTAAATCGTTACTCTAATAAAAAATACATGGTCCAAATGTATTTTTTGACCAATCTAGAATATGAAAACATTACAAATACTACTTGTTGTTGAGTTCTTACGCGTTCATCGAATTATATAAAATAAAATATTAATTAAACTTTTCTCACGGAAACAAATACAATACCTATTATTTAAAGAGGAATCCTTCAAGTCTCGGTCATTTGTCCCACTTCCTTCCACACATATCATATAGTGGTCGTGCTAGCAACATAAACAATCATAGATAATTAGAAGATGATATATACTACTAGACGGGATAAGATATCTCATAATCCAAAATAATCCAAAAACTATTTTAAAAAATAAACTCACCGACCGGAACTCTCTCCTTTCCATATACTAAATCTGATGATATCTATATTTTTCATTGAATCCATTGTTTCCATATTTTTTTCTTTCATATCAACAACTAAAACCATCTTAAAATTTTCTCTCCTCAAAATTTCAATGGGATGTTGACACATGATATTACTTCTTTTGTAAAAATAGAAAAAAGAGAAGAAAGAAAAGCCCATCTTATAATTGGTCAAATTTGTCTTAAACTTGCATGGAAAAAATCTTATCAAATTAGAAGCAAAAACAAACTGTCTGAAAAAAGAGAGAAAATGCCATGAACAGTGGATTGGAATTTCTTTTTTTTTTTCTTTTTTTTTCTCTTTCCCTTTTCTTCTCTCCTTTTCAAGTGGGAAGTCCTATAAGAAGGCAATGAACACGAGGTACGTGGGAGTGTGGAAGCTAGCCCATTCGAGAAAGATTCAAAATTCAGTGTCTTTTTCAAACCCCATAAAGAGAAAAACAAAAAAACTTCACCATTTTTCCTCTTTCTTTCATACCCATTTGAGATCTTGAGAAAAAAAACAGACCCAATTCCAATTTGATCTCATTTTCAAGAACAATGGGAGAGAAGATTGAGAAGAAGGTTGTGATAAGAGAATTCAATGAAGAGAGAGACATAGAAGTGGTGGGCAAACTTGAGAGAAGCTGTGAAATAGGCTCCAAAAGAGGAGTCTCCATTTTCACCAACATGATGGGTGACCCTCTTTGTAGGATTAGATTCTACCCACTTCATATTATGTTGGTGGGTTCAACAACAACAATAAATTTACATTGAAATTGAAAAAAGACCCCTTTTTTTTAATTCCATTTTCATAAAGGGAAAAAAAAGCACACAAAAATTCATTGTCATTCTATATAAAGGTGGAGGCATTGTGTTGATTTCTCAGGTGGCTGAGCTGCCGGAAAATGGAGAGGTCGTGGGGGTGGTTCGAGGCTGCGTCAAGTCTGTGGGGACAGCCGGCGCCGGCGCCGGTTCCGGCGAGGCTCATGCGACGAAGATTGGTTGCATATTGGGCCTTCGTGTTTCGCCTGCACACAGGTAATACAACAAAGTCTCTCTCGATATGAATGCTTCTTGTCTCCATCTAATTACTTTCCATGCACAATGGGGGATTATGTGGCTATTTTTCGTTACTTTCTTATTATTTAAAAAAAATATAATTGTATTTGGTAACTATTTATTGTTTTTTACCGGTCAAAAATGATAAAATAGTTATTTTATTTATGTTTTTGAAAAAAAGATAGAAATGAGAATAAAAAACAAGAAACTTGATTTTGTTGTTTTTAAAATTTCTATTTAATTTTGAAGCGTTTATAAAAAATAGAACATGAAACATAAATAGTTGCTAAATGCTTAGGTTTTTCAATAAAATTGAAAACAATAAATAAAAAATGAGAATGTTACAGGCTGACGATGTTTAGAAGAAGATTATAATATTTTAACGAGTGAACTATAGTACCATGGTTGACAATATTGTAGATGTTTAATTAAGTTGATACATTGTGGGTCTGGGTTCGAATTAAAAAAGTATAACACGTGAACTATTAATATAAAATAGTTTGAATCTGCATTTGTCATGTTTCGAAGGCGGGTTTAGAATCTTTTTGTTTCGACACTACAGAAAAATATCACTGAATTCTAAAGTTCAAGTTTATAGAATACGACAATAAGTCTTGCTTTTGGCTTTCAAGTACATTTTAAATTATGGCATGGTTTTCTTAGTATATCACCTTAAATTCAAACCGTCATACCCTGACCAATCACAAGAGAGCAGCCAACGTAAGCTTAGTTTAACAGTTAAAACGTCTTGCACTTTTCTTAAAGTTCGGAGGTTCAATCTCTCATTCCCACATTTGTTGTACTAAAAAAATCACAAATCTCTCATTCCCACATTTGTTGTACTAAAAAAATCACAAGAGAGCGTCGAGAACATATCAAATGATTGCGGAATCTTTATGTGTGGAGCTATTTTTTTAATCTTTGTTTCCCCTACAAAGTTTAATTGCTAACTAAGACATGTCTTTTGTTTGGTATAATAGGAGGTTGGGAATTGGACTAAAGCTTGTGCACTCGGTAGAAGAATGGGTAATAAGAAATGGAGCTCGTTATGCCTTCCTAGCAATAGAGAAGAAGAACATAGCCTCCACAAACCTCTTCACTCGCAAATGCAACTATGTAAAATTCAGCTCATTGGTCATATTCAGACAGCCAATTGTGTTCCCAACAAAAGACATGTCTGGTGGGGAAATAAAGATAGAGAAACTGAACATAGAGCAAGCCATTTCATTCTACAGAAACAGCCTCACAGCTAAAGGAGTATATCCAATGGATTTTGATGTGATCTTGAAGGAAAAACTGAGTCTTGGCACATGGGTTTCATACTTCAATCAAGAAGATTGGACCCATTTGATCTGTTCAGAAAAAGATGCAGAGATCTACCAGAGAATGCCAAGTTCTTGGGTGGTGTTTAGCATATGGAACACCTGCAAGGCATACAAGTTTCAGATAAGGGAGTCAAATAATCCTCTCAGATTCTTAAGAAATGCAAGAAAAAAGTTCATTTCCTGCTTCAAAATGCCAGTCTCTGTGTCTTTTGGGAAGTCATTTGGGTTTTTCTTCCTGTATGGGATATTTGGGGAGGGTGAGAGAGTGGGGGAACTCGTGGAGTCGCTGTGGCTTTTCGCCTCGAGATTGGCTGAAGACGAGAAGGATTGCAAGGCCATTGTCACCGAGTTATCGGTTTCTGATCCAATCATAAACCACGTCCCTAAAAAGCCAACCATGTCTCAAATCAATGATAACTGGTACCTGAAAAGGTTGAGTACACAGAGTGATGATAAGGAGGAAACCTTGTCGTCAATGGATGTGGAAGCAGCTGGGAATGTGATTGTGGACCCCAGAGACTTCTAGATTCGATAAATTCATACCCCTTTTGCATCTTTTTCCAAATGAAATTCAAACTTCTGCAAAAAGATGGTAAAAAAATGTCCCTTTTTCTTCCAAACCGTTAAGAATATGTATAAAAATGTCTCTATCTTCTTCTGTTAGGAATAGGTATAAAAGAATAAATACACCCAATACTTAAAATTTTGAATCTAAGAGCTGACTAAACAGTAAACACAAATACTTGGTTTCAATCTCCATCAATAGAAAGAGAGATCAGAGACTCAGAGAAAATCAAGGATAATAAACTTACAAAGCTATTTACATTATGGCTTCTTTCAGACATGTGGACCTTAAGGCACAATGACAATCAAAGAAGTGTTTTCTTCCATGATCCTTGTAGCCATTTATATAACAACTTTCTGAATAACCCTATGATGAGGGAAGCATAGACTTACAAAATGTTCGTTCCATTCAGAAGCTTTATCTCTGGAATGAATTATAGGATCTCAAGTGAGTAGATTTGGTTCACTGGCACAAACTGGTTTGAACTTCCCCTGATTGTCTTTTTTGAAGAAGTCCTTAATAGATAGATGCTAAAACTGGCTTTTATTGCTTCAAAATCTGGCAATTAACCCGGCAGTGATGCTGTTCTTTGGTGCAGTGAAACAGCCATGTCTCGTCTGTTATCTGGTCTCAATTGTCTTCTTTGATACTTAAATCTTTTGGGTTGAGTTGTTTCGAGCTGAATTTCGAGTTTTGATGTGTCTATAGACAACTTTTTCATAAGAAAGGCATCCAAATCAAACCCAGTTTCACTTTCAACTACATTATTACCAGAAGAGGAGGCCGCTGAGTCCTCTGAAGAGGTGCTTCTAGTGCCTCCTTCTGCTGCTCTGGGCATGGTGAAGGGATCTTCCTCCAGCTTCAACAGTCTCTTTATGCTGTCCAGTGCTGGATCAATAACGTCTAGAAATCCCATAACCCACGAAGCATCATCCACAACTTCAGTTCGCTGTTCCACACAAAACTTCACTTTCTTACTAACACTTCAGAGAAAAAGAGCTCAAATATCAAAAGCTTAAAAAAAGCTTTGGTTTTTATTATAATTTTATCGAGCAGAGCACCACCTTGTTTAAAAACTTCAAAAACCAGTAGCCAATTTAAAATTGAAGGGATGTGATAGTTTTTGAAAAAGTTATTTTAACCGGTTAGAAGTATCCTTCAAATTGGTGTTAGTTGTTACTATAACTGAAGATTGGATTTGTAACTGCGGTTACTGACCTGTTGGAAATAGAGATTTCGAATTTCCTCGGCTCGGATTGCGTTCCCTTGATCCTCTTCCAGTTCTGCCCATGTCATCCATGTTACATAACTCTGAGAGTTTATGTTTAAAGAGGATCTATATAATCTTCTTGCTGCTGATAGATTTCCAACTCTCTGTTCTAGAACACCCCAAGCCTGAAATAAAGCAATCCAAGTAAGCAATATTTCAATCCCAAGTTATCGTAAGAAATACAGTTTGTTAGATTACAAATTTAGTTCCAATCTTTAAAAAGTTTGAATTATGTTACTGAACTTTGAATTGTCATTTTACATTAGTCTCTGATGTTAACACTATTAACTAAATGATGATATGACATGCTTCTTATAAATATTACTTGATTTAGCATGATGTGACAGTCAAATAACAGAAGAAAGTGAATAACTAGAGACAAAACAGAAGGGCTGAATTTAAGACATTGCTAGCATTTCTATTAAGTATTACCTGAAGACATCGAGCTGCACTCTCACTAGCTGAGTCAATTAACAATGCTCTTTGATATAGCTCCCTTGCTTTCCCCATATTTCCTTCCTTCCATTCCATCCATCCCCATGCCTGCATAAGCCAAAGTTTCAGTTTTGTCAAAGAAAAACGGAACCACAACGGAAAATAAATCTGAATTTGAATGAAAAATCTTTCAACCACAGGAGGGTCATTAATATATAGAGTATACATACAATCCAGACAGGTTGGTGCTTTGGATCCAGTTCAGATGCTCTCCTAAACAAAACTCGAGCAGGGCTTGCAGAGGAGTTCTTATACTCCAACAAACCAAGAGACTGAAGAAGAACAGGGTCTCTTGGATTGAGGACATGGCCTATCTTTAGAAGTTTCCTTCCCTTCTCGATATTTCCCATATTTGCTTCAAAGAGTCCCCATATATGCCATGCAAACCTGTTCTTGGGGCTGGCTTGGATGGCTTTCTAGATTACAGATAAATAAACTTGTTAACCTACTGCTAAACCAAAAGGTTAAGTTTATAAGTTAGGTATATTTAGTCTTTTATACATATCCTTACAGTTTAAGTCCTATTTTAGTCCCTACACTTTTCTGCTTATTCTATTTTGATCCTCAAACTTATAAACATTCTGTTTAAGTTCCTAGACTTGAATAAAAAATTAATTTGATCCTTGCCATTAATTTTTTTTAAATAAATTGTTTAATAGAAATCTGACATAGATACATCTTTATTTTTTCACCAAATCAGTTGACGTCTACCTTGACAAAAGGCCACATATGATGGGTAAGATGTTGGGGTTCCAAATATATTTAGGTTCTTGATAACTGATCAATAAAAAATAACAGTACGCACTTAGCTTAAAGTTCATGGTCTAGAATAGAACATTATACTGTTCTAAAGTTAAGAGATAAAAAGAAAATTTAAAGACCAAAATTAAGTTGAAAGTTTAAGGACAAAAATAAGATTTACATCTGTTCTCAATACTCCAACTCACAAACAATTAATATCACAAAACTTCTTCTTCTAATACTATCTTAAACTTTCATTAAACCCAAAAACTTAAGCTAATAGATATATTTCATCATTACCACGTGAATCACAAAGGGCATAAAAGAGCGCAATCGGAGCATCAACAAACGGGACCAGAATCTCTCTCTACCAATAACTCATGACAATTTCGAAAACTCATTAACACGTTAAAAAGAAGAAGAAGAAAAACCAATCACCTCAAACAGTTCCCTAGCAAGAAGGTTATTCTCCTGTTGCATCTCCAACTGCGCCCATGCCTGCACATACGATTGATGGTAAGTAACAATCAAATTCAGAACAGATTACGCTTATGGAATGGGGGATCTTAAGGAACTCACAAGCCAACTAGCACAGCTCTTGGGGTTGCACTTGGTAGCCTGCTTAAACAGATAACGAGCATGCTCATACCGATTTGATTTGGCCTCTAGACGTGCAAGTGTCTGGTAAATATACTCATTTCCACCACAGTTTTTGAGGCCTTTGGCGAGTAGATTCCTGGCCTTTTTGATGTTCCCCTGCTTTAGCTCTAGCACAGCCCAGCCGTGCCATGCGGCGATGTGTTTCTTGTTGGCTACTGTGGCTGCATCGAAGAGCTCTCTTGCCTTCCTGATGTTCCCCATCCTGCTCTCCAGAACAGCCCAGCACTATATCAAGTGTACCATTAGTGGCTAAAATTAGACAAAATGAAACTCAGTTGCAGGTCATTGCATGAACCTACTCCCACATATCTTCTTTTGGTTAAAACCGACTGATTTAAGAAAAATAGAAAATCAACACTAAAATTGTTTTAAAGAACCAAACGGACCAACAAGGATATATTGGTTTAAGAAAAATAGAAAACCAAAACCGAAATGGATTGTTTTCTAATTCTGTGAACATTCGGCCAGCTTACACATACCTTAACTAGTTTCAGGAAACAATCATAGAACTCTATCACATAAGATAGAAATCTTAGATAGGTAAAATGCAGATATTGATTATTTGAAATTTGGGTTTTAACTTTTAACCAACAGAACTCGCTCAATTCGGTCGATTTCAACAGTTTCAGCATTTATTCCATTTCAACTAGGGCCTCTAACTACGGCGCTGGTAGAAATATGCTCATGGCAGTAATAGCGAGTTGAAAGAGGAATTCGAAAGGTAAGCTGTACAAAGCATCAGCCTTTTCTCAAGAAGCTGCTAGCAGCAGCTAGAAACAACTTTGGAAAGCCAGGAGAAAAAGGGAAGCAATATAGGTATGTTTACTTTAAATTATATATTTTTTTCAATCAGAAATATGGATGTGGTTGTATTGAAATTTTTACTTTAAATTATAGAAAAAGCTACACAAAGGAAAAATCAAGTTTGGGCTTTTGAACTAAAGCCTTGACAGAAAAGATCCTAGAAACTGGACTAAAGCCACCCCTTGTTTTGGTCCGCCCCATCTTTCTGGGGTCTCTCTCTTTGTATTTTGTTCTTTCATTATCTTAATGGAAGTTGGTTTTCTGTTAAAAAGTGCAAATAGAGAAGACAATCAAGGGGATACCTGATATGTACACAATCAGAAGGATATATGTCTATATGTAGTAAAGGAAAGAGAAATCTTAGACCATTTTAATTTTGTTTTGGTTTCACGTATTTAAAATGTAAGCTTATAGAATAGTATTTACCGTGTACATTTTTCTTTCTTTATTTTAATAATTGGAGACTGGTCCTTGGATTCCATTCGTAGTCCATCCTTAGTGATTTTCTAAAATGTTTCCTAAAAGACAGGTATTTTAACTATTTTGATTTTTTTACCTTCAACTTCGATTCATTTTAGAATTTTCAAAACGTCTATTTTGATCCTTATATATTTAAAAAATGACCAATTTGATCATTTATTTGCAAACTTTTAACACAAAATTTTATATGCAATGGAAAATCTTTAAAATTTATAGCTACATTTCAAAAAAAAAAATTAGTGATTGATTACCAGGCTAAAATTTTGAGCAAAGGATAAAAATAAAAATGAAAGGACTAAAATGGTTAATTTCAAGAACTTTTAAACATTAGTAAATAAACCTAATCTGTAGAAACAGAAAATTAAAAACAAAAATGGGTCATAAAATGTAGTTGGGGCAGAATCCATGGTTGAAACTGACCTGCCAAATGTAGGAGTTTTCTCCCTGCGTGGCTTGGCAGCCTCTCTCGTAAACAGCTCTTGCTTCAGCTGCTTTCATTTGCTTGCTCAACATCTTCCCCAACGCTACGTATGGCCGCCCATCTTCTGGCCATTTATATATACACTACGCAACCCAAATCACACACAGAATTCAGCCCCCAATTTTCATTTCAAGTCAACCTCTACATTTAAATTTAAATAAGTACTGAAATTTATTCTATACCCTATTCATCAAAGGAAGAACCGAAGAAGTAGATTTTTTTACTGCTAGTGCTAGACATGTTCATGTTGGCTTTTGAAGGTATTGGTTCTTCCAATTACGTTGAATACTTTTAATTAGTTTGACTTGACATTTTATCATTAAGTTTTGAGTACTGTATCTCTTGATTTTGTGGCTATATTAAGCATTTATGTGACATGAGTCTTAATTGTTTTATTATTTGAATTTTACATAATTTATTAATTAGTTATATAGAAAAATGACAATTTCTAATTAAACATTGAGGTGGTTGTTTTTTTGTTTAGTTTTAACGTCCCCGTCAGACCACGAGGTCATGAATCCTTATGGTACAGGTACTGAAGAAACATTAAAATTACCTAAGCAGTTTTATAATTTAATTTTGAAGAAGTATTAATTTGGTAGTTTATTAAAGTCGGTTTAGTGGGATGAAATTGATAATTTCATAATTTAAAAAAATTCACAAAATTTAAAAAAAAATACCTTCTGAAGGACTTGCTGTGCTTCTTCATACTGGAAGTTCCTCGCCAACATCTTCGCTCTGTACAATGCCAAATCCAAATTGATAATCAGCGGCCTCTCTAGGGCACTCGAATCCACCCGATTCTCCGGTTCAAATATCGGCATCTTCTTCGCAATTTCCGTAAGTCCTGCATCTATGATCGAAGATCTCAACTCAACTTCCGCCTCCTCATCCTCCTGGTCGCCGGAATCTTCGCCGGGAAACTCCATAACCGGCCGCCGAACCTTAAGAACCTCTTCCGACGCCTCTCTGTTCGAGCCGGAACTTCCATTACTCTCCCTCCCGCCATCCGATGATCGTTCAGCGACGCTAGGGTGCTGCTCCACCAAGATCGCCGTCGAGGAGGAATCCATCGAAGAACAACACGGCCGGACAGAGAGGGTTATGGTCGGGATTTTGCATCTGTATTTCGAGAGACTGCTCGGATTTTTAGATGAAGATAAGAGATTGAAGCTTGTGGTAGAAGGAGAAGACGAGAAGACTTGCATTTTTCTTTTTCTGGTTCTGTTCTAACGGTTGCTTCCGAGGAGCTGTGGAAGACGAAGAACAGACTTGAAATTACGATTATGACCTTGAAGCCGTACGCCTCTACAGTTTTATAACGCGAAAGAAGTGAGGGTATTTTCGGGATGCTGGAGCTAAAATGTCACTGGTACAAGTTTTCCCACGTGGCAGTACTGGAGTGGCTCTACACTTTAATCCTCGTGGTAGATTTTTGTGCCACGTGGATGGATTTTGTTGGTCGCCTTTGTGGATTTTCTGATACTCTGCTGATAAATATCCGATACAGAGTTTGTGAACGAGTTACCGAGTCATTTAACCACGGGTCAATGAGATTTTTTTGCAATTATTTTTTTAAATGAAAATTAATTAAATAAAATATAGATATTATATTTATATATCATTACCTTCATTCTCTTTCATTATGATTAATAAATAAACATCCGCTAAAAATTTTAAAGTTGCGTTGTTTTACCAACTTGAAAAAGACGATATTCAGGAAAAAAAAAGTTTCAAATAAAAATATAAACTGGAACGAATAATTCTACTTATTTCACTTTTGATCTTGAAATAATTTAATTTGTGCAAATGATAAAATAACGAGTTCCTCCAATATGAAAGCGCTCCAATTTTTTAAACTAATAAATCATATTTACAATATTTGTGAAAGTACGAGCTTAATTATATTTATTTTTGTAGAAACTAGTGAAATAAAAAGGAAGACTATGCTTAAAAAATTGGGGTGAGAGATTGTAGCGAGAAGAAAAAGTAAAGAATATACCGAGAAAAAAAAATGGGAGGTGAGAGATTTTAGAGAGAGAAAAAATAGTGGAGTAACGTCAAATGAATTTTGAAAGAAAATAAAAGATATATTGAAGAGATATCGAGGTTATACGTGAATTAAAATAAAATAATTAAAAAAATCTCAAAAGCAGACTAGGACAATTTACTAAAAGTTATGTCATAATTATTGGTCCTAAATCGTCAAGAGTCAAGTTTTTACCTTCAAATATTCATACAATTGTAAAGATAATTAATGTGTTTACTAATTGAGTTAGGAAAAAGTTACTCTTGGAGAGACATCTCCACCAAATATCAATCATACATGGTAGATTGTGAGACCACACGCTCTATCTTAAAAAATAAATAAATAAAAAATACTACAATACCCAGTAATATTCTAAAAAAAATGCCCTAGTGCTAAACACCTCACATTTTGTCCATTCTTTGAAAAGAAATGTTTCAAAAAAAGAATCAATGATTAAACAAAAGGAATGTACACCAAAATAATTATAATAACCAAATGGAGTACTAAAAAAATAATAAATAATAACGATGATGATAATAATAAGCAAATGGAATAAACAACAAACCAGAAGAAGCTCGGCATTAGCGACGGCGATCGCAAACTCGAACATCTCGCGCACAAAATATACGGCATCTCTTAACCTAATCCATCTCCAAAAAACGCACTATTAAATCAGTCAAATTTCTCATCTCCATCGCCGGAATCAATGGCGATCTCCAGCCTCCTCACTCTCCCCAACGTCCTCCTCCTCTCCGTCCTCGCTCTCTACGCCTCCAATGGCTTCCCCAGCCTCTTCCATCCCCAATCAAAGCACACAAACATCGTGTTCTACGTCCACGACTACTTCACCGGGGAAGACGCCTCCGCAATCGCAGTCGCCGGCACAAAAGGACCGAAATCGACGATTCTGGAGTTCGGAACCCTAGTCGTCGTCGACGACCCGGTGACGGAGGGGCCGGAGATCGGGTCGCCGGAGATCGGCAGGGCTCAAGGTATGTACGTGAACTCTAAACTGGACGGGAAAGGGCTGTATATGGTGTTCTCGGTGGTGTTCACCGGCGGCGAGTTCAGAGGGAGTAGTTTGGAGATTCAGGGCTCCGATTTGTTCACGATGAAGGAGAGGGAATTTGGGGTCGTTTCGGGAACCGGTTTTTTCCGGTTCGTTAAGGGGTTCGGGATTATGGAGACCCAAACCATGGATTTGGCTAATTTGAGAGCTGTCATTAAACTTAATGTTACTGTAAAACACTACTAATTTAGTTACCAATACCATAGGTTAAACAAATTTGCAAAAATCACCCACTAAACTTTGTTGTTGTACTGTATTAAGTTATAAAAAGTTTGGAATCCAAATAATCGAGTTGGATCCGAAAATGTCTTTTGTACTGTATTAAATTATACAAAGTTTGGAATCCAAATAATCGAGTTGGATCCGAAAATGTCTTCTAACCTAGTCCAACCTGATCTAACACCCCTGGTACTTAACTACGCGATTTTGGGTGCTAGAATGTATAATTCATTACAATATTATTTACTTTTATCTTTTCAAACTAAATCTAAATCTGTTCCAATCAATATAAGTGTAGCTAAACGGTAAATGACGGCATATATATTTCCTTGTCAATGTTGGATGGTTCAAATTCTCATATCTCTATATCTTGTACTAAAAAAAAAGTTCTAAAACTGTCCAGACTACATTTAAACTATTAAAATTCCATCTCATTTTATAAATTGGTCACTCGAGATGCAAAAAGTTTCCATTTTTAAATTATAATGTGACTTATTGATGATGTTGAAACGCACGCTTTGAGATCAGTGCAAATTTATCCTCCACAAAACTATCGACTTTATTTTCAAGATTCGCTTTCGGGTCGATCTACATCTCTATGGCAAAGAGGACATGTAAGGCAATAAAGAAACTCTATGAATCAAGTAACTTGGGAGAATGTCTCTATCAAATTCCAAGCCTTCTCTTGGATTGCTTGTTGAAGCAAAAAAGAAGTTGAAGATATGGTTGAGAGATTATTGGATATTTGAATGTGATGCTTGTGCCAGAATTGCCCATCGAATTTGATTGGGTGGGTTGGATAACATTCCAAATCTTCTTATCCTATATTGTACCATGTATCTGTCAATTTCTAGGCTTTGATTCTTCATCTCCCCACCTTTTTTATCTCAAAAGGGTCAAACTCAACATGGTCCATATCAACAAACACAATTCATTTGGCCACGAACTAACACCATAAATTTTAATTCACAAGTCCTCTCCATGCTTTGTACTTGGTTATTAATTCGCGGTGCTTGATTTACAAGCGTGCACGAAGACATCAATCATATTTAATAAAGGTATGATTATTTTGCTAAACAAATTCGATCGGCCATGATCCATAGTGTTCATATAAGTCATTCTACACCATCTCTTTATTGCATAGAACAAGATTTATTTTTCAAGCCTCGGTGTTGGCGACCTTATGGAATATTTGATACTTTTTCTTAGAAGGGTCATATATGAATCTACCTTGCTTTCCTGTTAATATTCATTTGTTTTTATTTTTTTTTGTATTCTCGCCCTTCTTGTGATTTTTTAGAGGTCGATTCAGGTGCGGGACAAGAGTACAATAGCTTTCTCATATAAAAAAAAAGAAGTCATAGTCTCATTCCGCGTTCTATATATTGAATGAGATCAATAGTCCAATAACTTAGCATATAAGCCAGTCCCGATTTGGTGTTTGTCGAAAGTCCACATGCCATCCGATGGTGTGGTAACTAGTGGGTTTAGTACGCGGCCCATTTCAGAGACAAATTTGAGTGATTTGACAAAACACTACTCCAAGGTTTATAGTCCACAAGTATCCTAGTAAGATTCTGGTTGGGGCATTGGCTCACAAGCAACTTGGAGTGGTTGGTGATTGGTTCCTAAAGAAAGGCAACTTTTCAATCCATTGATGAATCTCATCTCATCTTGGTTTCTTACTTTAAGATTTCAAGAGGGAGAGAGAGATTTTGAAGTTAAAGCTTATAATATTCCTATCAACCTCTCAAGTCTACTTCAACTTAATGCTATTAGAGATAAGAAGGATATATGTACTATGATATTCTCTTCTAAAAATAGTAACTCAAGACCACTCATTTTTGACATCCCACGTGTTTTTGTACTAAAAAAGCTTACTTGATTTTGAGTATCTTTTTTGATTTTTTATGAGTTCAACAAATGGTGGAGATTTGAACTTTCGACCCTAAGAAAATGGGTATATGACTTGTCTGTTGAACTATGTTGATGTCGACTCTTATTTTGAAGGTTGAAAATATAGAGAAATTATTTTTTAAAAATAAATATAGAGGATGTGCAAGTGGGGAGGTGGACAAGGATGGACAACAAGGAGTCGAGAGCGGGTAAGAGAGAGAGAAATTTATAGTCTTACTGTAGTATGGAAATTTCCAATACTACCTCCATTTAAAGTGTGTAGTTTTATTATTATATAAATACATAAAATATTTTTCTATAGGGAGCCTATATATTTGAAAACTTGTATACTACTTATTTGTTAAACATAAATATTTTTTAAAAAGCCACGTTATTTTTCTGTTAAAGAAACTAATGGAAAATTATCTCAACATGATAAAAAATACAAGATTTTGAAACAACCAAATTCAAAATGAGACTAAAGATATTCATATCTATATATTTATTTTTTCTGAAGAAAACTAGACTTCTTAAAGAGGCCTTGGCCTAATACACCTTTAAAAGGAATTTTAAAATTTTAAAATGCTTTTCGGAAAAAAAAAACACTTTATTGGCGTTTTTTTAATATTAGTTTATTTATCTTTACTTTCAAAATTATCACAAATTCACTATATAAACAATTTGTGGTAGTTTGATAATCTTCGTTTTCTATCTTTTTCTAATTTTTTGAAAATATTATTATTTGGTAATTCATTTGATCAATTTTCAGTTTTAAAATTTGAAAATGTATTTATAATTGTAAGTAAAATGTAAAAACTAAAAAGAACTCCTTTTTTAAAAATAGATTTTTGTTTTTTTTAAATTTTCATTTCATTTCTTTTCTTTACATTTACCTTCTCTCTGTAACATATTCTCTCTCCATTTTACATTTTCTTTTTCTAACATTAATTTCTCTCGCAGTAAAATTTTTCTTTGACATATTTTTTAAACTCTTTTTTTTCTCTCTCACATATCTCTCTAAAATTTTATCTTTCTTCTCCCTAAATTTTATTTTCTTTAAATTTCTTTTGATAGCTCATATTTCTTTTTCTAACCATTTCTTTATTTTTCCAGCTTTTCTATCGCTAGCATGTATCTTTTCCTCTCTAAAAAATTGTCTCTATCTTATAAATTTTCTCTCTTTAATTTTTTAAAAAGATATAAAACAAAAAGAAAAAAATTATATGTATTTTATAAAAGGTCAATACTTTTAGGTTTTTTTTTTTAATGTCACAAACTTGACTTTTTTTTTCACTATATAGTTTTTCTTTAATTCACAATTTGTTTTATTTGTATGAAATTTTAAACTTGTTTGTTGTATTTGAAATACACATTCTTATTCTGTCATTTGAAAAAAAATATATATTGGATGAAAAAAATATTATAGGTATTTTATAAAATGTTTGTACTGGTCATTTTTTAAAAACATGTCACACACTTGACTTTTTTTATTTTCGCTAGATAGTTTTTTTTTAATTCAAAACAAATTATGTTATTTGTGTATTAGAAATACATATTTTTATTTAATCATTTATGTAATTGCCTAAATAAAAAATTGTTATAAAAAATATATTTGATATCTTTTTAAATGAAGAACAAGAAAAAGAAAAAAGCAGTTGTCTTGCTAACTTTTTTTTTATTTGTTTTATGTTTTTAAAAATTGAGCTTGTAAATACGATTTTCTTATTTGACACCTATTTTTAAAATTTGACTAAGATTTTAAAATTGCTTTTAAGAAATGTGACAACTTACTAAAAAAAATGACGAGCAAACCAATATAATTTTCAAATACTAAAAACGAAACAATTGTCAAACTGCCTTAATTAGCTAAGGTTGAATTTCAAAACTTAAATAAGTAATTCTAATAATTATTCTTAAAACAAAAAATAAAATCCTATAAATATGAAATATTTTGTGGAAATAAATAGAAGTAATGGTGGTGCGGCCACGAAGCTTCCGCTGCTTCGGTTCGAAGACAAATCCACACCCCCAAAAAGATTCTGCTTTGTTACTTTATTATTTTTTATTTTTAACTAATAAAATATTATTAACATTCTCACTATTCTTATTTTAATCTTTTTTTTTTCAAACAATCTGGATTTGGATAAGAAACTGCCACGTTGGCACACTCGTAATCTTTTGTAACAGACCTTTATTAAACGTTATATATATATATATATATATTTCATTCAAAACTTTATATTAATTTAAGTTCTAAATCTTATTTCGTTTATATCATTTTAGTTTTATAAACTTCCAAACATTTTTATTTTATGTTTTTAAATTTCATATAAATATTATTTTTAATTTCTATTGTTAATTTGTTGTTAAAATATAATTTTTAGTCCTTAAATATTTTTTTGAAAGAAATTTTAGTCCTTCAAATTTATTGGACGAGTTCAAGTAACCCACAAAATCATCTTTAAACTAGCATGCCAAAGATATATTCTCTATTAAAAAATTCAAATTTCTATATAAAAAGAAAAAAAAGAAAAAACTTTGTGAGGAAATAAAAAAACTTATTTAAAATATAAAGGCCGGATAAATAAATACAAATCCAATTCTATGTACACTAAATAAATCTAATTTAGCACTAAATGATAATGAGCAGCCATCTCTAATTACAAGATCGTGAATTCGAATTCTTTTACATTTACGTTTTTTTTCTGTTAGACAACAGAGGTAGGAAAATACTTAAAATCGGACCCATCTTTATCCTAATTATAGGTTATGAAATAATAATAATAAAATAAATAAATAAAAATAAAAAGCTACCAATCAATCAAATGTTTTTTCTTTTTTTCCTCCTTTGGTATTTCCATTTTCCGTCGACTTCGCAAACACAGAGCTCAGTTGATGAACAGGGAAAAGCCCAAGAAGCCGCAGAGAAAATTGCGAGAAAAAAAGGGAGACAACGAAGAACAAATCAGGAAATTTGTTTGCTAACTTTTTTTTTCCTCTCTTTTTCGAATAATTTTTTTTCTAATACAGAAACAACAGACTCAGGTTTTCAGCATAACTGCAAACTGGGTTTGTTTCTTCCTACTGAAATCTCTCAATTCAGCAAGCTTTTTTTTTTCTGCTCATGGTGATGAGATTTCACCTCTCTCTTTTCTTTTGATTTTGATTTCAATTTTGATGTCTTCTTCCTCGTCGGAGAATCGTCCTTCCTCAGCTCCGGCGCCGCCGGGTACTGAATTGAGAATCGCTGTGTGGGATTTGAGGGTTTTGTGAAAGGGGAAGAATAAGGGAGTTTACTTAGTGGAGAAACGCATCGTTCGGAAAAATGGTTTCTAGTAATCGAGCGACGCATGCTCATCAGCAACAAGCACAGTCCTCGAACATTAATACGAGCAATTTGCGATCTCATCGTACAGAATCCATCAGCAAAGCCATAGCACAGTACACCGCCGATGCTCGCCTTCACGCAGTCTTCGAACAGTCAGGTGAGTCCGGTAAATCTTTTGACTACTCACAGTCTTTAAGAACTTCTACGCAATCTGTACCCGAGCAGCAAATTACTGCTTACTTATCGAAGATTCAAAGGGGCGGCCATATCCAGCCCTTTGGCTGTATGATAGCTATCGATGAGGCCACTTTTCGGGTTATTGCATACAGCGAGAACGCTCGCGAATTGCTTGGTCTTACGCCTCAATCAGTGCCGAGCCTTGAAAAACCTGAGATCCTCACAATTGGGACTGATGTACGGAACTTGTTCGCTTCCTCCAGCGCAATTCTGCTCGAGAAGGCATTTGGGGCTCGAGAAATTACTTTGTTGAATCCGGTTTGGATTCATTCCAAGAATTCTGGGAAGCCCTTTTATGCTATTTTGCATAGGATTGATGTGGGAATCGTGATTGATTTGGAGCCTGCAAGAACGGAGGATCCTGCCCTTTCTATTGCTGGGGCAGTCCAATCGCAGAAGCTAGCAGTACGTGCAATTTCTCAGTTACAATCACTCCCTGGTGGAGATATTAAACTGTTGTGTGATACTGTGGTTGAGAGTGTGAGGGAGCTTACTGCATATGATAGAGTTATGGTGTATAAATTCCATGAGGATGAGCACGGTGAGGTTGTGGCTGAAAGCAAGAGGCCTGACTTAGAACCATACATTGGATTGCATTATCCCTCCACTGATATTCCTCAGGCATCAAGGTTTTTGTTTAAGCAGAACCGAGTTCGGATGATTGTTGACTGCCATGCATCTCCAGTTCTTGTGATTCAGGATGCAGGGCTTATGCAACCTCTATGCTTAGTGGGGTCAACTCTTCGTGCCCCCCATGGCTGTCATGCCCAGTATATGGCCAATATGGGCTCCATCGCTTCGTTAGCAATGGCAGTTGTTATCAATGGTAATGATGATGAAGCTATGGGTGTGAGAAACTCAACGAGGCTTTGGGGTTTGGTTGTCTGTCATCATACTTCTGCTCGGTGTATTCCATTCCCACTTCGGTATGCCTGTGAATTTCTAATGCAAGCCTTTGGACTTCAACTTAATATGGAATTGCAGTTGGCTTCACAGATGTCTGAGAAACATGTTTTAAGGACCCAAACTCTCTTGTGTGACATGCTTCTTCGTGATTCTCCTACTGGCATTATTACGCAAAGTCCGAGCATCATGGACCTCGTAAAATGTGATGGGGCAGCTCTTTACTATCAAGGGAAATATTACCCACTGGGTGTGACACCGACTGAAGCCCAAATAAAGGATATTGTGGAATGGTTGTTGGCTTTCCATGGAGATTCGACTGGTTTAAGTACGGATAGCTTGGCTGATGCTGGATATCCTGGGGCAGCCTTGCTTGGTGATGCAGTTTGTGGAATGGCTGTTGCTTATATCACAAAAAGGGACTTTTTGTTTTGGTTCCGATCCCACACAGCCAAAGAGGTCAAGTGGGGTGGTGCAAAGCATCACCCAGAGGATAAGGATGATGGCCAAAGAATGCATCCACGTTCTTCATTCAAGGCATTCCTGGAAGTGGTAAAATCCCGTAGTTTACCATGGGAGAATGCGGAAATGGATGCAATTCACTCATTGCAGCTTATTCTGCGAGATTCATTTAAGGATGATGTTGCACTCAATTCTAAGGCAGTTGTGCATCCTCAATTGGGTGATCTTGACTTGCAAGGGATCGATGAGCTCAGCTCAGTTGCAAGAGAAATGGTCAGGTTGATTGAGACTGCGACTGCTCCTATCTTTGCTGTAGATGCTGATGGTCGTATCAATGGATGGAATGCTAAGATTGCTGAGTTGACTGGGATTGCCGTTGAGGAAGCTATGGGGAAATCCCTGGCTCGTGATCTCGTGTATAAAGAATCTGAAGAAACAGTTGACAAACTTGTTTCCCGGGCTTTAAAAGGTAGTTGGTAGTTCAGTTACTTATGGAGCTTTTTTGGTATATGCCAATTCAAGTAGTTCCAACAACATAACAGTTGAAGCATTTAAAAACAGAATATGGATTCTATATATATGTTATAATAGTCAAATTGATGCATAAATCTACAATAGATTCAAATTTAGTTTCCTTCAACTATCCCTGTCCCTTCCATCTGAAAAAAATGGTATCACTTGACGTTCCTATGTAAGTGAAAGAAGGAACTCAACTACTTTTTCCTCTCAAAACTGAAAAATGTGCTCTGTTTCCTAGAACTATTATGTGAGCATCGTAATGTTTCTGGCAATCTAACTAGACATTGATTGGGTCAACCAATATGCTAATGAACTTGACATGCCTAGAGGTCAACTTGTGTGGACTACTAATGCATACTCATGTAAAAGTGATGTGTGTATGTGTGGGTATGTTTATGTTTCTTGACAAAGTGGATGTGGAAAATCACACTTGTTGACAAAATGCAGGTGAAGAAGATAAAAATCTAGAGATAAAATTGAGGACATTTGGACCAGAGGATCAAAAGACGCCCGTTTTTGTGGTTGTCAATGCTTGCTCTAGCAGGGACTACACTGATAATATAATAGGCGTCTGTTTTGTTGGTCAAGATGTTACCTGCCAAAAAGTGTTCATGGACAAGTTTATTAGCATACAAGGTGATTACAAGGCTATTATTCATAGTCCCAGTCCTCTTATTCCTCCAATATTTGCTTCAGACGACAATACATGTTGCTCAGAATGGAATACTGCCATGGAAAAGCTCACTGGATGGTCCAGAGAGGATATAATTGGAAAAATGCTAGTAGGAGAAGTTTTTGGAAGTTGTTGTCGACTTAAGGGTCCAGATGCATTGACAAAATTTATGATTGTTTTGCACAGTGCAATTGGAGGGCAGGACAATGAAAAATTCCCCTTTTCTTTTTATGACAAAAAGGGGAAATATGTGCAAGCTCTCTTGACAGCAAATAAGAGGATGAATATGGATGATCAGATTGTTGGAGCTTTCTGCTTCTTACATATAGCTAGTCCTGAATTGCAGCAAACTCTTAGAATGCAGAGGCAACAGGAGAAGAACCGTTTTGCCAGGATGAAAGAGCTGACTTACATTTGCCAGGAAGTGAAGAGTCCTTTGAGTGGTATACGCTTTACTAACTCACTTTTGGAGGCTACAGATTTAAGCGATGATCAAAAGCAGTTTCTCGAGACCAGTGTTGCTTGTGAAAAGCAGATGTTAAAGATTATAGAAGATATGGATTTGGAAAGTATTGATGATGGGTGAGTTGTCCTTTAACAGTTTATCAGTATATTATAGGAAAGATATGTGATGTATGAATCCCTACATTTTTTTGGTAATTGCATCTTTGATTGCATTTAATTAAATCTTTATTCTCAATGAAGGGAAAATCTATCTTAATTCATCTCTGGGATGGTTTTATCAGAGTTTTCCTTATTGGTCTATCTGTTTATACGAGTAATGTATACCTAATACTATACCTAATACTGAAGAGGGAACAGACCAGTCCATTTGTTTAGTTTATAATTTTGGAATTTTCTTTTAGTCTTCTGTTATCAATGATGTCTAATCCAGACCAAAAAAGATGACAATCTTGAAACAATTGCTAGTAATTTCTATCCTAAAATTTATCTCTTCTGCATGCTCTTGCTACACTTTCGTCCTCGACTTTAAGGATTCATGCAAGTCGTTGTCCTTATTAATAATATGTCTGGAGAAGCATAGCTAACTTTCCGATTGCTTTTGGCATCAGTACAATGGAGCTTGAGAAGACAGAGTTCTTATTGGGAAGTGTTATTAATGCTGTTGTTAGCCAAGCAATGATATTACTCAGAGAAAGAAACTTACAACTGATTCGTGACATACCAGAAGAAGTAAAGACTATGGCCGTTATTGGCGATCAAGTGAGGATTCAACAAGTTTTGGCTGATTACTTGTTGAATATGGTGCGATACGCACCAGCTCCCGAGGGCTGGGTAGAAATACGCGTCTGTCCAATCCTAAAGCAAAACTCAGAGGGAATAACTCTCGCACGCACTGAATTCAGGTATTCT